TGTAATAGGAATTTATTATTTCAGGGGTTTATATCTTGTGAAGGGTCGCGAGTAGGAGTATGGTTCCTTTGACTTTATTGTTCGCACAGGGGCTACAGTTTGGGGGGGTCGCCACCTCTTCATTCGGAGGGTAAATCTTCCCATTGGGACTTTAACAGAGCTGTACAGCAAAGTCAAAGGAACCATGCCTCGTGGAAATTTGTAAATAATGCCCACTAGGGGGCTTCCCAGGCTACTAGTAATTCTATAAGACAAAAAATAGTTATCACATCAAACAGCAGATAGTCTCCCCTTTTATTAATTAATTAATTAAAGTTCAAAGTTGTGCAATTTAACATCACATTGTTTATTAACTCAGCACATTAAATGCCAAAATTTAAATGTATAAACTCTATATTTAAATGAAAGAAAATTCATAAATATTCTCAAGTCTTTAACATTACATATTTTTATGAATTAAAAATTGTAAATACAAACAGATATTTTTCTTAAATGTAATCACATTTAAGAAAAATGTATAATGAGATGTAGTTAATAATAGAGATTTCTCATTTCATCCCTTTTCATAATAGTTTCTTGTTATTGTATTTCAATAAATTAAAATCTCAACATTAAGTGCCATATTTCAATAAAAGAATTTGTCAAAACGAAATACAGTGGTGCCTCATATAACATACTTAATCCGTTCCAGTGCACGTTCGTTAAGTGAATAGTCCATTATACGAAACGCATTTTCCCATAGAAATACATGTTAAAACATATAATTCATTCCGCAGCATAAAATAACCGTAATGTACCATAAAAAAATGAAAATGGAGCACCCACCAATTATGCCGGGTAGTCAGATGTTGTGAGGAGGAGGTGGAGAAACACTTTCTTCACACATTCATACAGATACAGACTTTTTACACATTGCAGCGGGTCTTTTTTTTTATTGTTCTTTAATCGGATTCAGATTCAGGAGAGGCTACCGGAGCTTGCAGGGTCAACTCCTCTTGTTCCATCCTTTGTTTTTTTCCTTGCTGCTTCTTGAAAAACATGTCCAAGGTGGTCTGTTTCTCTCTCTTCTTCAACACCTGTCAGAAATGACGGGCAAGGGTGTCATTGACACTGTTGGCCTCAGCTCTGTTTGGATAATGAGTGTTGGTAAACTCCTGAACCTCTCCCCATTCAACAAGGAAGTTTTTGTCAACTTTCACTCATTCTGATGATTTCTTGCATTGTTTCAATTGAAATCACTTTTCTGTTTTTTTTAGAAGCCGTGATTTGCACAACACTTGAATAAATGTAAATACCCAGCACTGTGTTGATGTACCTAACAAACATGGGAGTAAGCCTAATTACAATGCTCTGTACTTCAGATATACTGATAACATAAAAATAGCAGATTGTCATTGGCAATGGCAAAAGAGTGGAAACATCATTCGCACTTGTTCGTAGAAAGCAGGGCTTTGGAGCGGAGCGGGAGCAGGTGGAGCAATGTATTTTTACTCGGAGCAGGAGCGGAGCCGGAGCACAGAAATTTGTAGTGCTCCACTGCTCTGATATATATATTTATTTAATATTTGAGATGGTGAGAATGGAAGTGGCATAAGTTGTAATGTTACAAATGTTAAGAATACAATAACTTAACTAAAAAGAAAGGTGATCACAAGCACAGATGAATTTTATGTCCATTCCACATATTTCCCATGTGAAAGGTGAGAACCTTTCACAAGGGTTCTCCAGTCTCCACTATCCCCTGACCAAGCTATTCCTTTCCCTTTGTGACCCCCAGTTCTCTGAATTCTTGAGAATTGAAGATGTGAAGTGGAGTTAATGGGGAGGGGTGCTAATGAGTAGCAGATTTTAAACTCTGCTTACAAGTGGCTTTAATCATCAGCACAGAAATTCACCACTAGGAGCAGCACTAATATTCATTTCTTACATTTGATTTTGAATGTGACAGTCATTCATTTCTGTTCGCAATCAGTTTGCTATAATCGTATATCATAATTCGTAATTTGTTTGCAGAGGTAAGATTATTATTACGTTGGGTTTAGTGGGTAATACTCGATTTAAACCGGTGGCTGTGTACTATGCCGGACCAGAGTCAAGGCATAGCAATCAAAACAAACCTAAAATTAAATCTGTGTGTCAGTGTCAGTGTCAGTGTCTGTATTAAGGAATTTCCTAACAATATGGCAAGTATCTTATTATTATTATTATTATTTGATTATTTTTATGCATGAATGTTTATATGCGTAATTTCTCAATTAATAATACTTAAATACAGTAGAGTCCCGAAAACTCAGCCTAATGTGGACCGAAGGGTGGCCGAGTTTGTGAAAATGCCGGGTTATCAAGAATGGGGTTAAAAAAGAATAAGTACGAGTGTTTCCTCAGAAAATATTGTACTGTACTTGTATGTATTGTTTGCTTGAGAATACAATTAGAATAAACTGCCCAAATACCCTTAAACAAAGGAAAAGTACGTACTTTATGACGGCCTTTACTACATGATAATGAAAATTAATGAATACACAGTGTATAGTAATTTACCTGATATGACAGACTTCAGAAAAATACTTTGAGGCATAAAGCTGTCTACAATGAAAATTAACTAGCCCTGCCAGGGTGTGGCCGAGTTATCCGGACTGCCGGGTTATCGAGTGCCAAGTTTTCGGGACTCTACTGTATTTGATTATTTAAGCCATGGCATCAAACCAAAATTTAAAACCATTACCAATGATAGACAGTCGATTTACGGAAGAAGAGCTTAAAGAGATATTCGTATTTGAATACAATAATGGAAAGAAAATGCAACCATTGAGTGGGAATAATTTAAAGCTGTTTTTCTTTCCTCATGCATTGCACTTTTTTCTTTATACTTAAGAAAAAATGAAAAGAAAAAATCAGTTACATGCAAGATGGTTCCATCTTGCATGTAACTGATTTTTTCTTTTCATTTTTGGAAATAAATGGAAATAAAAAACATGCAAGATGTGTTTTTTATTTCCATTTTTTCTTTACAACGTGTTCACATTGTAAATGGCAAATCAATACAATGCAACTTCAAGGCAAGTGGAACTAGTGTGTCAAAAAAGTTCAATCTTTGGTGGCATGTGAGGCGTAATCATCCTGAAATTTACAAAGGGTTCGTTAAAAAGAAGGATCAACAAGACGAAGTCGCTGCAAAAAGAAAAACGTAATCATGACAATTTTACTATTGCACTGTCATATCATAAGAAATGCAGAACTGATCAACCAAAAATTGATACATATTTTACAACATTGAAGATTACAATCACTATGGATAGCAATACTTTCCATGAGGGATTTGTCGAGATGGTTTGTATGAGTATGACACCACTCACTACCTTCACATTAAATAACAAAAGATTCCAAAAGATTGCTGGCAAAATGGCTCAGAAGCTTGGTGTTCTGATAGGACATGATGCTGTTTGTCATTTAGTAATAAGCACAGCAGAGTCTGCTCACATCAATCTAAGACAAACTTTAAAAGGACAATTATGCTATTTAAAGCTATATGCTGCAACCCGTGGAAATAGAAATTTTCTTGTCATCAATGTACAATTTTGAAATAAAAAAACGAGAAAATTGAAATATAAACATTGGATATTGTTGATACTGAAGGAAGATATCTCTTTATATGTGAAAAATCAAATTAAAGAAATTTGAACAAATTTGAAATTGATGAAAAATGAGTACTAAGTATTTGTGTAGATAATGCAGCAAACATGACATGTGCTGTAAATAAACTTGACAATCATGAAAATATTTTCCAGGATAAAGATGAAAAAACTGAAGGATATGCTGTGTTAGGAATTCTGTCCTCCATGAAGAAGCAAAAAGAAAAGCTTATTCAAAACTCATATTTTCTTGCTGGAGTGTATGTTGATTCTAGGTATAGAATTTTATTAAGTGCAGCAGAAAAACTAAAAGCGAGAGAAGGTCTTTCAGACATCCAACAGAGAATCAACAGAGAATCAAAAGGCAAACACTAATTGATTTAGCTGAAAAGCCAGCAATTGTTGAGCTCTCACAGCCAACCTGTGATATAATAAATATAGATTCGGAAGAAGACAATTTTTAAAAAGAATTGGATATAAGAGAAAACAGCCGTCGAATTTCCACTATACATAATAAAGATGACAACGAAATGGACAAATATGTTGAGAAAGACCGCAATGCAATAGAGGATGTGGGGAGATTAAAGGTGAATGTATTCAAAGCCATTGACCATTATCCGGAGTGCATCAGAAAAGAATGCAGAATCACTTCAAGCAAGCCAACTTCTCAAGCAAGTGTTGAGTGTCTATTTTCCAGGTTAAACTTGCTTTTAAGTGATAATAGGCAGTCAATGAAGGACAATTTGCTGTCTGCCATTTTATTTATTAAAATCAACAAGGTTGTATTTTAATGTTTTTAATAATAAATTAGTTGTGAATAAACAAGTTTTTTATGTACTTACACTAATTTTTTCTTTGATATATAATTCCTATAAGAATATTTTAACCGGAGCATGGAGCAGAGCACAAAGCGGAGCTGGAGCAAATACTTTGATGCCAGAGCGGAGTTGGAGTGGAGCAACTCAAAAAAATGGTCGCTCCAAAGCCCTGGTAGAAAGTCCATTGGTCGCCTCACTTAACTGCCGAAAGGAAAGTCCGTTGTCCGCAGCCAGTCCGTTGCTCAAGTCACGTAACGGCCAAACAGAAAGTCCATTATTCGAGGCACCACTGTATAAAATATTCTCACAAACTAAGAAACTTAAAAATTCTCTATAATTATAAAATATGTAAATCTTAATAGCCCAATAAAGGCATTTGGCTGTTTGATATTTGTAATAATTATTGAGTTGGTTGTATCCTGTATAAAATAATAATGTAATAAACAAATTGCAAGATGTTTTAACAATAATGTAACTAAATTTTTATTTCTGTTATAAATTATACATCTTTAAAATTTAAATATGAATTAATTTATGTACTTAAGCATACTTGAGAATTTTTATTCACAAAAGACGAAATTAAACTCATCGATTTTCAAATGTTAACTTTCTGGATCGATGCTTTTTATATAGATGGGTTTCGAACGAGTTCTTATTTTTTCTTGATATTTCCATTTCTTTCCTTGATGACTAGCCACTGCTGCCGGAGGCAAGTTTACTGGACGTGGATACGGATTTTTGTAGTGCAGAGCTATTAATTAATAAAATTAGAAAAGTGAATACATAAAATATTACTTATTACTTTAAAGAAAATTGTATATTGAAATGAATTTGATAGTTTAAGAATTTCTGTTATTTATTTAAGAAAACAATGATTCAAAAATATTCGTGACCTAGTCTACTTATTTTCTCATCACAAATTAAATCGAGTTCTGTAGGTGTTCTCTGTATGTAATGGCAAATACAAGGGAATATCATTGACGCAAAAAAATTAAAACTTATTTATTTGAACTTCAAAATATTTATGACGACAAATATAGTTTATAGGACCATTTGCAATAACATTGCACGCACGTGTTAATAAAAGGTAGTTAAAAATTTTAAATATTTCAATACGTAACGAGTTATTTCCCCTCTTGGGTAGTTCTGGATTCGCAACTGTGACCGTACGACACATTGGAGATATTCATAGTATTCAAATTTATTTTTTATCGACGTAATATCCAGATCTCGAATCTCGAAATACTTTCTATTATACACGTTTTTGTGGACGGCATTCACTCATCTCTAGTCAAGCGAGCTTATATTCAAATACCAAGCACAAGATCTTGGGAACAAGACCTTTTTATAATAGAATAGTTTCCAATTCCAATAAGATAGGTGCATTCAAATACACCTATCTTATTGGAATTACTTTGGATTAAGCCTAGTAAAAAAATTTCTTCATAGTCTTTATAAGTGATTTTACTGTAAAAAAATCTTAATACAATGACATTCCATTAGCAGTTTCCACAATAATTATTGATTCCAAGCGTGCTAACTATTTCTGCTTTTCGTATCAAACTCGTGCACTAAAGTATTTGGAAAAGTCTTTAGAAAAATCACGCGTAAGCTAACCTAGCGCATCGTCTCGGCATTTTTCGTCTCTAAAAGGAGAACTCGCACCCCTTTCCAAAAACTACAGTTTTCTTAGCATGTATTTTAAGGAAATAAACAGGTAAGCTGCAAGTGTTTTTAATAAACTGTATTGAAATTAGTGGATAGAATATTAAGAAAGTGCAGACGTCATACTCAAAAATAATATTCATCTTTGCATTCCGGATCTCAAAGTCCACAATTCGAGAACCACCGTCATAGACGAAAAACTAAAATATGCCATATATCCGGGAGAGACCCTTCAAAAATTGCTTCCCACAGCGCTCGATTTGCAAACGTTAACAAAAACTCAAAATAAAAAGAAATTAAAGCATTTCTTTTTATTTTGAGTTTTTGTCAAAATTTTCTTCTTTTTTACAAGGTAGCGAGTAAAAACGCTCGTCCGACCCGAAAAATATCGTCGACTTAAAGTTATTTATCGGGTTTCGGCACCGCACGGTAAGCTTTAACCAAATTAAACAATTTATTAAATATACATCATACGTAGACCGTAAAATTCTACAGAGAATCAAGAGAAACCGTTAACACCACGGGATCGATTTTCGGGAGCGTCTCGTCGGACGGCAAAGGACGAAAGGAAAACGAAGAGCACCCGGCGACGAGCGACTCCTAGGTCCACGCTCCGACTTTTTTGCCGGCGTAAGGACGGGCGTACAATTCTAGCGGGCACAAACGACGCAAGCGAGGACAAAAATCTGGCCGTTCACACAACTAAAGTCACACGTCCGAGCGAGCCGGAACCGTGGAGACGACAGAGGAATGCAAAATCGGATCGCCGTCGGAATCCGGACGCTTCGGAGCGACCGGAGGGTGCGGATTCCGACGGAGATCTAACCGACCGAAACAAAGAAAGAAATCTGGCCAAAACGGGTTCTTTTCTTCGTTCGTCATTCGATTCCAACGCCGATCCGACTTTCGACGGATCAAACGGAAGGAACGGGCACGTACTGTACGTAAACATTTTAGTCCGTAGAGTAAATATTTTTACCCATTTCTAATCTGGCTCGAGCCTCCATCAAATGCTGCTTTATAGCAGATTCATCGGACACCTAAAAAATAGAGAATAAAAACACTTTTAACGGATATTTAATTAAAATTCTCGCATTTAAAAAATTTAAACGGTTAATTACGTATTTATTTCTTCGAAATAATTCTTTAGCTTCCGATATAATATATTTCCTCTGAGCTTCGGTCTGATCGACTTGACCGGACGGCCAGCGCCACGTTTTACCGGCACGTAAGATTTGTTTATACGTTTTTAACACTTCTTGTCTTAAAGACGACATTAGAAATTTCTTACCGACTAACGCGCTCATTTAATTAATTCGCAATCATTCCTTCCAACAACGCAATTTTTTATGTTTATAAACGTTCGTCTGCGGCGCTAAACCCCAACTGACGAAAGATCAGAGGGCGCTGGTTTCTATGCGCGCGATGTTCTTACATTTTTTTTTTAATTTCGCGCATGACGTCGCCTCGAGTTCCGTTAAAATAATTATTTTTTTAAGATATAATTTGTAACACGTAACAATTTACTTTACTATAGCTTTTTTCCGATTATAATTTTAGGAGAACACGCATACAACGCGAACTTCGTCCCCGACTCGCCAACTCTCTTTTATTTTTATTTTTCTCTTTCCACCCTGCGGGAACGAGGGTCTCTTTTAACCGAGCCCATTATGGGTTCGGCCGGGCAGCCGGGTGGCGAGGGACGGGGGCCGACATATCCGGCCGGATCGCCCCCGTTTTTTCCACCCGTCCGGATACGATTCCGAGTCCTCCGGAGCGGTAGGCTGCCACCTCGACCGCTCGGCCGTCCGGCCGTCAATTAGGGGAATGTAAATTAAAGCGACTCGTAAAGAGTCAATTCTTACATTTGTCGTAAACTGTGCTTTAATTTACAGAATATACGCCTGGGACTTCATAAATCGAAGGGCCTGAAAATTCGGCTCTTAAAATAATAATTTTATTTATTTTTCATAATAATAATTAATAATTTAGCGGTATTCCCTAAATTAAATCGACAAATGAATAACGCCGGCTGTGATATGTTTTGCGGGTAGTAATTAGTAGTAAATTTAAAAATAAATTATTTTTTATATCCGTGGATTTTTTTGTTTTTAACACTTTTATCTGTTGAAACTTAATAATTCTTGTAGCAATAAGCTTCAATTTTCATAGTTAAGACAATCTGAGCATCGGTAACCTTTTAAATACAGCCGGGCAGTTGTAATTTTATATTGGTTAATTTTCAATGTCAATTCTCCGTGTCACTTCTTTCGGACCAACGGTATAGCGGCTACCGCGCGAATCCACCACTCGCTTCCATCTCCATTGTGACTGTCGCCAGTCGAACTTCGTGCTGTTGGCGCAGGCAGTGCGCTCGAGAAGGACCCGGCTATTACGCGCAGTGATAAAACTGACGTAACTTCGCGGTAAGTCACCAACACCGACAAACAAAATGGAAGTTTTGGTTAGTAATAAATACTTTTTCTTGCCATACATTTAATAATAGACACATGTCGTCGTCTCTCCAAGTACAGTATCTTTTTTATTTCTCTGTCGATAGTCCGACACGTGTTCCGCAGCCATCTTGTATTTTCTCGCGCGCGGAGGATTGTAGAATATCTTACGACTGGATCTAGTTTCGAGAACTCTCGAGTCGATCGCCATCGAACCTGGTTTCGGTCGAGAGAGGTCGCGCCACGGCACGGTCACAATCTAGATTGAAATGCTCGGTGCGAACGGGGTTTTATAGTGTTATTCCGGGTGCCGACATCATTCTACCAATTTTGTTATATATAGTATCGAAATTGGTCCTGTTATAATGTACATGAAAAATTAATAATTAAAATTTAGTTTTTATTAATTTCTATTCAATCAGAGTGTCACTGAAAATCTCCCGCGTGCCATAGGTTGCCGACCCCTGGGTCAAGGTATATATATATGATTATTTTCTCGAAAAAAATGGGAGAAACAAACGTGTGTATATCTGTATTGAAAAAAACTTTAGCAAAAACCTGGCCGTATTTCGAATGTCGGGTAGCGCATTCCAGTTTACGTTTTATTTGTTGCAAAATTTTACCGTTGACTGAACTCGGAGATGACTTTGATCCCAGAGATCTTTCTAGGACGAATTTTAAAAATTCTGCCACCGCCACGACACGCCATTTAATTAGTTCTATTAATGTAAAAAATTTGAAATCGGTGGAGTCATTACTTAGCAAAACGTGTTTCGGCGATTTGTCAATTTGCCAAGAAAGCTTCGCTCGCTGCGCTTCAGTAAGTATTGACACATTATTTTTCCATGTATATAGTCCACCCACACTTTTATACGTGTGTATTTTATATCAGTATATTTTCTTTATCTAATATAGTACCATTTTTCCAAGCGAGGCCGAGTACCTTAGCTAGTACAGTATATTCTACAACTAACTTTGTAACTATATGCAAATAATGTTAGATACTCGTTACTACCACTAGAGGGCTAGAAGCAGTTTAAAAAGCTGGATAAAAATGATGGTGTGAAGAACGCTCATCGTAGTGGTGACCAGACCCTAAAGACTGGGAGGTTCGTCGTGGGTTCGCGCCACGTTCGGACAGGCTGGCTGCTTGGAGTTTTCCGAGTTTTCTCCTTGCCTATAACGACTGAATAGGAGGCCAGTTCCCCATAAAAGTCCTCCCGGAAGGCATTTATTTCCCGCGCGTACGTATGGCTGTTCGATACAGCCGGCTAATCGGTCGCCTAGCGATCATACACATACACAAGTCTACTCGGAGAAAGAGCCTACATTGAGCTAAAATCTCCATATAAACACCATCGAAGAAGAAGAAGAAGATAATTTCTTTGTGGTTTTTAATTGTAAAAATGTCAGAAACCTAAAATGAAAGGCTGACACTTGATCTTTTTTAACCTTGTGGAATTTTTACCAATTTTTACCTGTGTATAAGAAGATTTCTTCAAAAGCATTTTTTTTTTTTAAGACTGTTACTTCTGTGGTAGTGTATAAGGGATGAAGATGGACTCAAAAGTTTTTTGATTTTTTGTACATAGTCTAAACTTCAAATTATGAAGAAAATACATCCTGAGTAATCAAAAATTGTAATTCTACAACTAAGATTTTCCCTTTGCGCTCTGGAGGACCCGGGATCGAATCCGGACAGGTGGAAAAAGGAATTTTTCGGTCACAATAGGTCGGGATATGTCGGGCCCAGTCCCTCGCTCCATTGTAGGCCTAGCCGACCCATAATAGGATTGATAAAAATGCTTTCTTAATGCCCACAGGGCGGAAAGAGTAAAAAAAAGTAAGACCTAAAAATAATTTCTCGAAGTTTTTTGATTACTACGTAATCATTAAATTACTACGTAAATCAACATTACAAAAATTTTATATGATAGAAAATACAGTCGACCCCCTATAACACGGGTTTATATAGTTTGGATTCCTATATCACGGCGAAAAAATTGCGACAGTATTCGTACAAACACGCTAAAAAAAACTCGTATAATTCGGTAAAACATCATCGCCGACTCGTGTCGCGACAGGATCGCTCGAATGCAGACCAATAGCGGATATTGTACGAACCGTCGAGTTTAAACGAGCGGCGGACCTACTAAAAACCATTTATTATTTAACGTCATAAAAATTATATTTATATTAATGATGACTCCAAAGTTCAGCGAATTTTTCGCAAAAAAAAAAATAATTTATAGGGAAGCACGCGAGCGCCATTCGATGACAAGCTCCACGACGAAAACAAGCGTAAGCAATGGCGTAGTCGAACGGTGCGCGCTCGGTAAGTAATCCTACAATTTTTTGTTTATAGCATAGTTTATACGGATTATTCTCCCAAAAATTATACGTATTTTGGAAATGTTGAGTCGAATTAGTCTAGAATTGATTAATTTTATGGAAGAAACAGCCTTTCAAACAGCCGTAGTCCGTAAACTGCATACGTGCCGGGCTGTGATTGGCTATCCAGCCAATCACAGCCCGGCACGTATGCAGTAGAAAATGGGTTCATAAAAACCGCAACGTATCTACCGTGTTATAGGGGGGTCGACTGTATAATAAAAAATTTAGATATAATTTTTATATAATTTATTTATTTAATGAAAGTAGATATAATGCACGTTCTCCAAGATGACGTCAAGTTCAACAGCGCCCCTTTGGGCGATTTTCTATTTCAACCAATCTTATATATAGGAGGCGTTACCTAGTAAAGCGCCGATAATAATCTAGCGAACGATCCGATTTCCCCCGCACCCTCCAAGGTGTAAAAAAGAAAAATTTTTAAATACAGGTAACCCCAGTATTACACGGCACTTGTATAGCACGGATTCACTCTAACACGTTTCGAGAATTGGGTAAAACCCTGGTACAACACGAAATGTAATAAAGGGTGCGTTCTTTTATACCTCCGCGTAACTCCGCGCGAGCATTCTAATTGTTTACGCGGCTACTTCGAATTCTCTTTCAAAAAATAATCCATTTAATGGTTAAATTTTACAATCGGGATTCTTCTCTTGCCTCTGAAAGCTCATTTTAGAATTATAGATTCCTCCACACGATACCATCGATAGTGCGGGCCGCCATCTTTCTTTCGCCGTCGTTCCTAAATGCCTACAAACAGCAGCGCACACTCCCATTGCGGAGCGACCGCTATTAACGAACGCACCCACAAACTGTTACCAGTTGATGATGCTCGTGCCGAGATCATCATATAGGATGAATAATCCTCTGGTAAAATATTTACTTAAATAATAAATAAGTATTTTACCCATGAGAAAAATGAATAACAAATTCGATTTAAATAAGGATTTGACAGCACGTTTTTTAGTTTTTGGAACCTAACCCCCTTTTCGCGTTAGTTCTTTGTTTCGTATAACACGGATTCGCATAACACGGCAATATTTGGAACGTAACTCCCGTGTTATTTGGGGTTACCTGTACGTTCTTAATTTGGAATAAATGAGAGATTTTATCAAATCAGAAATATACTTTAACATTTAATTAATTTTATTTAAAGTTTTATTTTATTTTCGGCGTATATTATTATTTTCCTAATTTGAACTTTAAATAAAATACTCATTGGTGTCGGATTCGATTTGAACTTTTAATGAGAAGCGCAAAGGGTTAACCGACCGACCTGGATTTTTGCATTTAGCGAGCGGCTCCACCCTCGACGAGATCAACTAACATCGATAACGACACTCCTACATAAAATATTCACGAAAAGTTATAAGAATCTGGAACGGATTCGTCATAGAAATGTCTTTCCGCGCGACCACGTTGAGGATGCAGTAGTATCGAATTGAATGATGTGTTAGTTTAAAAAATATCCAAAAATTAGTTCGTACCAGGTATTAAAAATGAGATCTTTCAACCAATTTAAGCCTCATTACAATTTATGTAAGAAGGCAATGCCAGTTCCATTTTGTCACCATAGCTCTATAAAAAGGAATTTTGCAGCGCGAATAGGTGTTACAATACAATCGTTTGCGCTGATTATATTGAAATGTTTAATCGAATACAGATTTAGCTCAGAACTCGTGTTTATTCTCGGTAAACAATGCTCCTCCCGCCAATTCCAAGGTCCCACGTCTGGTAAGGAACGTGCTCACCGAAAGGTCGATTTTTCTTAAAATCGCTTCGATGTACATTACTCGAATGTGAACATTTTTGCATAATGGAATGATTTATTTTATTTATTAGAAAAATTGAATAATTTTGCATTATCTCTCGAACATCCACATCTCGTGATAAAAGCCAAGATTTATTTCCTTTTTCTAACACTAAGCTCATCTAAAATGCTAAAATATTCTAACTCACAGATATACTTTAATTAAATACAGTACGTAAAATAATTGGCTTAAAATCCTGACAGCGCGAAAAAGAGAGAAAATGGAGACACCGAGATCGACGAATCGTAACGAAATTTTGTTACGAATAGTCTATATGGGCACGAGTGGGCGAAGTGAACGGCCGCCTATGGCCCGTGATGCAAGTCCCAAACCGAGATGTCTATCGTCTATCGCGTGTCGATAAATTAAACGCTGCACATTGAACAGAGCAGATTCGACACGGCCGCACTCCCATTCTGCTGGTTTTTCCCCAGTAAAGCCGGATACTTGGGGTAACAAAAAACTTTGTAAGTTACTTGGTTTCCTTTTTGCACCCCTATGCCTACGGCGGCCAGGGTATCGAGAATATCGCGTGGTACCTACTCGTTGGACGAGACCGTCGACTGAACGAGTTTCAGATACGTGGACACTCCTAACGCATTGGTGTGGCTGGCGTACATAACTCGACTTTATTAAAATATTAAATATATCGAATTTAAAGTAATTTTTAATATTTATCCAGGGAGGTTAAATTAGAATATCGAACCAAGTCAAATTAGACGTAAATTTCGAGTGATATTTTTATATCTTCCATTTAAGAGATTAAATGATATAATATTGAGAAAGTATCTTCGATGTAACTTAAAATATTTAGGTTGGGGAAAAAGAAATCCATTATTTTTACATTCATTTCAAGTCTTTATTTAACATGGTTCCGGTTGTTCGACTTGGATCAAATATGCACCGTTTTGTTTTATAATTTGTTGCCATTTTAAAGGTAACTTCATAATTCCTCTCTCGTAGAAGCCCTGGTCCCTATTGGCGAAAAACTTGACTAAGTGATTTTCGCAATCCTCTCTTGATGCCAATTTCTTATCACCAAGGAAATTTTGTAATGATAAAAAAAGATGGTAATCGCTTGGTGCCAGGTCTGGACTATAAGGTGGATGCATCAAAACTTCCCAACCAAGCTTTCGGAGTTTCTGGCGAGTCACTATAAATGTGTGTGGCCTGGCGTTGTCGTGATGAAGTACAACACCTCTCCCGTTAGCCAATTCTGGCCGCTTCTGATCAATCGCTAGCTTCAAATGGTCCAATTGTTGACAGTAGAGGTCCGAATTTAGTGTTTGGCCATATGGAAGCAGCTCATAGTAGATGATTCCTTTCCAGTCCCACCAAATGCACAGCAAAACCTTCCTGGCTGTTAGTCCTGGTTTAGCCACCGTTTGAGCCGCTTCACCACACTGACCACGATCGTTTTCGCACAATATTGCCATATGTAACCCATTTCTCATCCCCAGTCACCATCCGTTTAAGAAATGGGTCGATTTCGTTCCGTTTGGCCAAGGCTTCGCAGATGGAAATTCGATCCATAATGTTTTCTTCCGTCAATTCATGTGGCACCCAAACATCAAGCTTCTTTTTGAATCCAGCTTTATTCAGATGGTTTAGAACTGTTTTATGGTCAATCTTTAGCTCCTGGGCAATGCTACGAGTGCTAACGTGCCAGTCTACTTCTATCATTTCCATGATTTTATTGACATTTTCGACAACGGGCCTACCTGTGCGAGGTGCATCTTTAACATCGAAATTACCAGAACGGAACTGACGAAACCAAAATTGCACATAATTGGCTGTGACAGTATCAGGACCATAAACACCATTCACAATTTCAGCTGCCTGGCTTGCATTTTCGCCTTTATTGAAGCAAAATTGTAAAACATACCTAATTTTCTCTTTGTTAACTTTCATCTTTTACACCCTATAACTCACAACTGAATTGACCAATCGAAAAACTGTAAAAGAATTTTTTTAGTACAGAATGTTACTTTTCCAATAAGCACAAGTCTGAACTTGTGTCATCAATATTTTATGAGATATGTATCACTACAGCCATCTAGTGAAAAAATAATGGATTTCTTTTTCCCCAATCTTAATAATGTCGAAGGATAAGAGTGACCAAACAGAGTGAATTATTACGAAATTTCTAACCAGGGTCTATATTTATACAAAAAAATTCTTCAAAAATACCCCTCGGATGTGGTTAAAAATCGGTACAAACGACTGCTATCTAAGCAAAGATGCCGTAGATACGTACTAATCAAAGACACGGGTTTGAGGAATTATTTTAGAAACTACCGGGATATTTTATTGTTTATGAAGTATTTTAAGGTGAAACGGGAATATCTTGGATAAAACGAGATGTAAGTAAATGCGGTTCTACCGTCGACCGCCGGATAAATCGTGTTGTAAAGGAATAGAGGGAAAATTTGTTATCGGTAATCATCTGGAAGTAAAGACGAGAAAAAACATTCCAATGTCGATACGGTACGTCAGTTTACGAGAACAATATCAACTTACATAATCCTATCTGTTGTAGCGAAGGAAAATTTAACCGAAATCATTCGATTATTGAATATTAATTAACTGGTAGAGTATAAATATTTACGTAATACGTAACCGGTTGCGCGTTAATCACGTTTATTTGAGAATAAATTCAATTTTGAGTTTCGACCACCGGTGGGCCGATCCGCTTCACCGGCCAGCTACGTCGAATAAAATTAGAAAATATCATTTATCCACCAGCCAATTCGATTATCAACTAGACGAATTCTACCGGAAAGATACCAAATCTCTTCTCCAATTTCAATCAGTTCTATCGTGTTCCTTTTTCGGTTATCCAGTTTGGTGAAATTTTCCTCATTGGCCATGCACGACCAGGACGGAGCAACCAATCTTCTAGAGTAATTAAGAACTTGGAATTCCGAGTCGAGTAATCTCTACCGTACGATAATCTTAATACACCATTCAGTCGCGTGTTTCTCTTCATTCCGTCTTGTGAGAAATTTCATGGAAATCGCGTTAAGTCTCTCTTTTACTTTTTCTACATTATAAGAAAAAGGTCAGATCCTATTTACGAGGCGCAACCTTATGGCAGGCTGTCGAGTCGACCGAGTCCAGATAGCATTTTTGTGTTTCGGATGAGTGAGTACGAATCTGTATTAAACATTCTTTTTTGTTAACTTTAACCGTTCGTCTACTTACGTAAGAATCGCTTATATAATTATATATAAATTATGGTAGATTAAATAAAATCCTCAATTAATTTCCAGTTGGTGTAAACATTCCGTTGTTATAAATTTATAAAATATAACAGTACAGTTTATGTAAATATACCGTATAAATATAAAATTTTTTATTGTTATAGAATATCTTATACTGTATATATATATACGACGGTCCGGAAGTCGATTAACTGCGTTTTTGTAAGAAATTCGGCGGTTTTTGCCAGAAAGTCGGCAATTTCCGAACGTGTGCCGAAGCGCCGTAACTCGTATATTGTGTGAAGAAGAATTGGCTGGTTAAACAATTTTGAAATTCAATTTAACAATTCTCGAACAGTTTACGTTCGACAATTGTTAAATCGTTGGGCCATTGTGTATTTTTAATATATATACAGTAATTAATAATTTTGGATGGAGGACTACTCCATTCGAGTCTGTCGGAGCCAGAGCGGTGATTCTCATTCTTTAATTAAATTTCGCTTAACTTATTTGCAATTATAATATTGCAATTATCGGCAAATAATTAAATGACATTAAATTATAAATTAATTAGAATAATTAAGAACAAACTTTTAATTAGAATTTTTGTATGGATTTTGTATTATGTGACGCGTTAAAAAAACTATTTTGCATTAAATTTTACATTTTAAAATTATAAAAAGTATAAAGTAGATATTAAAAAATACTTTAAATTAAAATATATTTAATTTTAATTTCTTTAATAATTATTTTACTGTATTTACTTATTTAATTAAGTATTAAATTTAAAATTATAATAAAATTATTTGAAAGAATTTTAAACGTGGCAAAATTCAAATAATTGGTCTTAATATATTTTTAACTGTAAACTCGCGTTTAAAAATTTATTTAAAGTCTATTTTATATTTTGTTTAAAGAATATTTATATTTTACGGCAGTATACAGTAGTTAGTTAAGTCCTTCTAGTGGTCATAAAATCGCCTGGAAATACGGTTTACCACCCTGAATATCGCCGTCGACCCGTCGGAAACTCTTATAAATAAAAAAGAATTACTTAAAAAGTAGAGTCAAGAGAGAAAATATATAATTGTACTGTACATTAATTTATTACTCGAGAGCACTCCGGGAAAATTTAAAAGGCATTAAGCCGTTCTTTCCAGCACTTCTCCTCGATTTTATAACAAATTTTGAATTTTAACGTTTAAAATTACGTAAAATATATACGTTTTAACGCAAAAAATCATAAATCCGATTTATGCGAGTGTAAAGTTGAAAATAAAAGATGAAAGATAAATTGATTTAAAGCTTACGAGTCAAAGCAATTAGCGCCCGTCAATAAAATAGTTTAAAAAATGAAAAATTTATTGGAAAACTTCGTATTACACACCCTTGACCTATTTACCATAATAAATCAGCCTACTTTCTATACGTTTAGTTACATTTATCGTCGATATCATCGAGATTTATACGAGTTAATCGACCCTATCCGTAAAGAGAGCCGCGACTCCCAGAAGAATAAAGTAATTAATTTCATCGTTAACGATAGGGATCTAGGATTAAAAGATTAATCGTTTAACCGTGTTAAACGTGTGGAAAATTTTACAATATTTAATTTAAGTCTGTAGGTAGAGAGAATATTTATTTGTTTATTTTTTAAAGTAGAAAAATATTTAATACGTCTGCGAGGAAGCGAAGTTGTTCTCACTCCAAAAACCTGTTGTCCCTCGGGCCAAGTGGATAGATCTCATCGAAATGCTGCGAGAGTTATGCCCGGGTCGGAAAGTTTCGGGTCTTGGTTTCCACTTGTACCCAACACGTCTTTACACTTAAAACATGTTTATCGGATATGACCGGTAAGTAGGATGAATATGTTTGTATCTACTCGTTCAATTTCGCGCCTTACTTTTTTCTTTTGTTTTTATCACCAATGTTCCTTTTTTTTTCCTAATGAATGCATTGTTAAACTGGTCAGAATTCTTAAGAATGCATTCAGGCTGACTTCTTTAAATAACACGCTCTTAAATTTTTTCTTTCTCTCGTAATCCTCGGGTCGCTTTATTCGGTTTGTCTACCTCTTCGCTTACTATATTTAGATAAAAAATTATTTCATTTAGATAAATTCAATTATTAACTAATTTACTAATAAAATATTGAAGTTAAAAAAATAATAAATAAATAAATAATGCAGTCTCGAAATTATTTTTGTTGGTAATCTTTGGTTGGTTATTTAGCTGGTTTACGCTTCGCACCCGATATTTAGTTAAGAATTATATAAATTTTGGCTTATTTTATAAAATTTCGCATTATATAGAAGAAAATATTGAACTTTTGCTTTTCCGGTGTGGATTTTTTACGCGTTTATTCGGTCGATTGGTTAAATTTATGCACGGGTTAGACTTATCGAGTGCCAAATTTTGGTCGACAATCATTGTATAAGTTAACATCCCAGGGTTATTAATTCAGGAATGATAATAATGACAGGTGTTTCGTGCACGACGTGACGTAACGTGACGGGTTGGTGCGGAATTCTTCTTTAAGCCGGAGTATTGGCGTTAGTTAAAATAAATTCTATAAGAAAATTATCCCGCGCGGAATACGAGACAAATAATTGAATATTCTAATAATATTCTAACATTTAAAAGTTACGAATATAAATATTCAACTAGCGAGACGACTTTTAACTCTTAAGACCCGGAGGGGTGCAATTTATGAACCTCGTGGTTATGCTAGAAAAATTTCATTGTCCCCAACCAGTTTTCTTCGTATTCAATCCACAAATATTAATAAGAAAATAAAATAAAAGTATTATGTTGTATATATAGATATATAGCATAATCTTTCTATTTTATATAGGCTTATATAATATATTGAACTTAACTCGTTAGCCCGAAATTGGGATGAATTTATAAATACATTTAAAAAAAATATCAAGAAAATAAATCATTTGAAAATTATACTTAAAATGTATTAATTTGGAATTAAATTATCTCCCGTTTTTATTAATTTAGAGTAATTTTTACAAATAGGTGTTCCCTGGCGTAAGTTTAAAAATCTTTATTACTCTTTAAAATAATCGGTCAATTTTAATTTTAATATTAAAATTTATAAAATACGAAGCTTAAAATATTAAAATATTTATACTTCGAAGGTGGGAAAACGGGTAGGAAAAGGTAATCATTCATAAACAGGATTACTTATAAAGTAGAATATTTTGGAAAGTACCACCTGATTCGTATTTATTTAAAAAATACAGAAATAATACGTAAAAAGTATACAATTTGAAGATCAGATAGAAGAAACGTTAATTTAAACTTAAATATGGCATTTAAAATTATGTTTATAGCTGATTTCACATATAGGTGGTCAGTGGCGTAATTTGAAAAATCTTTATTACGCGATATTTGATGATAAAACGATTGGTGGATTTAAACTTTTTAAAATCTAAAATACTGTCTGTTGTAGAAACAAGGCTTAAGGTAACGAAATATTCGAATTTTGAATGTAGGAAAACGGGTAGGAAGGAGAAGTAATAATTTATAAACAGGATTATTTATAAACTGGAATATTTTGGAACGTACTATCTGATTAAGCAGTACAAGTATTATGTAGGCTGATTTTTAACTGTTTTAATAGGTAAAAAGTAAAGAAATCTTTGGAGTATAAACAAATATAAAAGAATATTAAATTTAACAAGTTTTTTCCTTCTTATTATTTATTATTCCGGACTTTTAATGATGCAAATATCGCTCATACATTATTAATTCGCCTTCTGTACACACTTCCCTATTTTTTAAACTATCTTAGCCGGAATTATGTTCACAAAGCATAAATTATAAGCTTATATTAAATAAATTTCTTTATCCTTTTAACAAACAATACAAGCATTATGAGTATTTTATCGTGTTTTTAACCCATGTAAATTTTGTTTCATAAATGTAAAATTAATTTATTTTAATGGTAAATATTACGGATAATTTCATATGTTTTATTTAATTTTTCGACACGTGTAGAGAGTAGGAAACCGAATTTGTACCGTGACAGCGTAACAAATAATAATTTACGGTGTTCAATTACTTGATTTAGTTAAATTTATTAAAAAGTCATATTATTTAAAGTATAAAAATCGTGGTTATTATTGTAAATAAATTGCACCTATTACGCATTATTACGTAATAAAGTAGAAGTAGTTTTACTGCGTTACATACAAACGTATGGATTTAGTTGTAACGTGGTCACGACTTCTGTTCCATCCTAGTTTCAAATGTCGCATCTCAACAAAGTTAATTACATAAATTTATAAAGTTAGAGGCTTCGAACAAGCCACTTTGTGTGCAATAATCTAGTTTCCTTTTGATGAAAATAAAGTAATTCATTGTTAACAAAAAGTAGGTCTGAGTATTTTATAAACTGCCATTCAAACACGAATTATAATTTTCTTATTTGAAATAAAATATTTGTAAGTTGCGCGTTGTATGCAATTAAGGATGTCATTCTAAAATTGCTTATTGTAGTTAATGGATAATGTTGAAGAGGTTACTTCGTGGCTTTCCTCCAAGGATTTTTGCATGAAATTCTACTAAAAATCAGCGAAATTCTATAAAATATAATTTAAATATCCATAATAAATTTTTACACCAAGAAAAATTCCAAAAAATCACAAAGTAAATAAATTTTAAGCCGAGAAATTACCTTACGTATTGTCTTTATTAGACTCGAGTGGATCTAAAAATTACTTGGAATGAACCAAAAAATGAGGTATCGAAATTAAAAAATAAGCATAAAAAAGAACTTTAAATAATATTCTTAAGTGTCTTTGCTTAATTGGGATGTTATTAGTTACACTTTTAACTAAAAAAAGGGGGAAGTAGTGACGAAGCAATTTGCATTTTTTGTAGCGGGTTATCTTGATAAAAAATCAACAAACCGTGCACGTAAGTTGTATAACATTACATAGGAAACATTCTGAAATACGTGGGTAGTTTCTTTATACAATAATTCGTTCTAGTCGAGAGAAATAAGTCACAATTCTGGAATGACGTAGAGAGGAGGTTGATGTATATAGATAGAGAAGAAACTATTCGAAATCACAATAAAAACTGTGTTTCTTCAATTAAAATAATGGCGAAAGAGTCTTAAGTTCCTTCTAGGAAGTAAATACATATATTTATTCAAAGTAAGATAAACGTAATGTAATTCTTCGCAATAGTATTTACTTTGCAAATCGTTTCCTCCACAACATTTAAATAAGATGGAGGAAACAATTAATAATAATAATAATAAGAGAAGTTTTCGGAATTTAAATTGTGCTTTTAGACGAATTGCAGCGTATTTAAAATCTATTGTACGTCGGGTTTCGGTTACAAGATTCGAACGGACAGATTTACCAACCGTTGAGAGCGATATCGATTTCTCAGAACAGAATACTTGCCATTACAAATAGTCGCTTACTAGTTTATGTTGTTGCTCCGTGGCATGGCAAACGGGTCAAAGACACGTTAATCAATGGTAGTATCTTTGTTTACGTTTACTATTTTTAAACGCATTCGCAATTGCCCATAAATGGTTATAAAACGGAATTTAAATTAATAAAATTTAAATTTTATTCGGGCTAGATAACGTAATTACAATATAAAATATGCAAATTAGCTAGGTAGATGCTCACGCGCTTCTTCTAAACACTACAATTTGATGGGATTCGTGACGCTTCGACGGCAAATCTAGAGCAATTTCACACGCTGTAATTATAATAAAATTTAAGTTATAAATATATTTATTTAGAGGATATTTTAAATTAAACTAATAGTTTATTGTATAATTTAAGTATTTCCTAAAAATATATAGTTTAATTTTCCACGGGGAAAAAATAATGGAGGAAGAAATACAATGGATCAACTTTCTGTTTGTGTCAAGAGTTCAATAGCATAACCGGTAAAACTGTTGATACTTGTGGCGCTACCATCGAGGCGGAAATCGTGTGTGTCCCATATTTTTCAATAACACTCGCTCGATAGACACCGTCGATGCGGGTTGGAGTCACCGGGCTCTGCAAATGGAGATTGTGCCATCGGACTGGTGAAAAGGAAGAGCGCAGATGACGGCCATCGCCATGAAAAGCCACGAATATCTTCCCGGAAGAATCCAAAATGACGAACGAGATTGGTACGAAAGCGGTAAGTAAACCGATCTGGACGTTGCGGGTGCTTCCCAGTGTTCGAAGACGATATAAAAGTCTCTTAAATCGAGTATGGAAAAGTATATAAAAATAACCTCGGAAGGCATTTTTAGTGTAAAATATTAGGAAAGGCTCCAACTTTCTAAAATATTTTCCAAGTTTTACATCAATATGCTATATTAGATGGTAAATTTAGAGGAATCGATATCCCTGTCGTTAAGGTGTTTCTTTATTTTTATTTTTCCAGTTATAAATTGCTGTAATTAAATGTTTCGAATTGGCAAACTCTATATTTTCGTCATAAAAAAGAATTTGTCAAGGTTTCCGTACGGACGAGGATAGCAACCTGCGAGGAGTTTTCAACATAAATATTGTTTTTGTATGGCTCTTTAATTATTTTTTTATTGTAATTCTTAAATGCGTTTTACCCGAAACATTTGACCTTTTTTTATTTTATTTAATTTTCTTTATTTCCATCTGGCGATAGTAATCTCAATTAAAGAATCTGTCCGCAAATAACTCAAGGTCCGCTACGTTAAGAAAAGTAATTCAGTGGTGTGACTATGACATTGATTTACGGACAAAATTCTTTCATTAATTAAAGAAATGTTTTTTATATCGTAAACGTTTCGTGTATAAAATAGCGTTAAAAAAAATCCAATTTTCACGCGCAATGCGCCCAATTCTCGCACAAATGTTGATTTTTCTTCGCATTTAACGATTTTTGTGTAGAAAAATTATTCATTTCGATACATTTTCCTTCTGTTATATACATCTTTAAACGTTTATTATCCCTTTCTCCATGGAAATTATCGATAAAATTACGTAAAGGTGCGAAAGATGTGGAATTTTCTCATCGGGGTCTAATCGCCCTGTAAAAGGTACCCTTATCGGCCAAGGAATGCTTTATAAACATTCTATTTACTTACTTTACAATTGTTAATTCATATTGGTGTCACGCCTTAGTTTCCCAATGAAAAATTTATGTCGTGTCTGCCCGAAACATTTTATCTACGAGTCGGTAGCTTCAAATTTCGGCTTATTTTAATTACCAACGGTTAGAATTGTACCGCGATTGTTGTAGAATACGAGTCAATTTAAGAATTTGAGTGACGCGCGTGTCCCGTGCATTTAAAGTGAGAAATAATATGATAATAAAAGATAATTTCGTGATTTAATAAATTAGAAAAAATGTTATTTCTAACGAGGATTTTAAGAAGAATTTTCGCCGTTGTTCCACAGGTTGAGGTCATTTTAATCCGTTTTCTAAAATCAATTTTATACCAAGTTTCGCTTTGATTATAAAATAAAGAATTAATTTGATGATAGAATTTATCTCCGATATATCGTCGTCATTTTCTTTCATTTTTTAACACGGACTTAAGAGGATGCCGATGGCTCGTCTTTCCTCTCTACAAATGTGCTCCACATCAAATTTCGGTTCAAATTTTCGGTTTTATTATTTGTATTTAGGGAATTTAATTCGTAATATTATTTCTCCATCATCTTTAATTTATCATCGTCATTCGTCACACCAACTTATCCGAGTCGAAGCGACTTACAGTATTGTGTTAAATGATCCAAATATTAGATTTTAAGCATAAAAATTAGTCCGAAAGAGTTATTTAATTAGTAATAATTAATAAAATTTTAATTTTTATTTATTAGCGCGTTTAAACCACTATATTAAAACAATTTTAGCAAATTTTATTAATTTATTGGTGCGTTTCGAAGTAATGGCGACGTAACGCCATATTGGAATCGTTGGCGACGCGTCAATACGGAGAAACAGACTTTAAACTTTAATTAATAAGAAAACGTTGTAAAATTCCATCGGTACGGAAAAAAACGCATTACGAAACATTTAAGATTTTCGTTTAAAGAATTTCCTACTACCTTTGTATTTATTTGATTATAACAATTTATTTCTAAATATATATATTTTCAAATGGCGCGTAAATAAATATTGAGCAATTGGAAAAGTCAGTTTTGTAAACAAATATATAAGCGTGGCCAGGTCGCTCCCGTTTATAACTTGGCATTTCGAAGCTGCGAAGAAAAAGGCCAAGTTCATTAATGACGAATAAGCGTGGTGGCGGCGGAAAGACGATGGGAAAAAAAGGCGTGCGCCAATTCGATAATTTCAATAACAAGGGCCTATAAAGTTGAATATCCTTATTAAAAATTGAATAAAATATTGTTAGTGTTTAAAAATAGCTAAATTTATCGTCTAAGATATCGAATTACTTCATTTTTTAGGAGGAAACGGAGCGCGAAACGGTAAAATTTTTACTCGTTTAAATACTAACGTTCTCCCCAATTACGTTTCTATAGCCTTAAACAAAGTTTATATTTGAATAAAATAGATTTTAAACGGGGCGGGTGTAATTAAATCAGCGTTTTTTGCGCGTTGTTGTTCTCGGACAGGTGTTGTCTCGTTGATTAAGCAGAAGTAGGTCATTCTACAGAATTCGTTACGAGTAGGAGATTGATCTGTCCTTATTAATTCGTTTCTTTTACGTCCGAGTTACTATTTTCTAATACTTTTTCCATTAATTCCAGCCGTAGTAACTCGTTAGACGACGACTTTCCAGAGAGATGACCTAAAATCGTAACGATTTTCCACCCCTATCCACTCTTCTAGCGCTTATTTTTCCATCGTCTCCCACGCCATTTTAAAATTTAATCGAATTCGAATTAAGGAGGAGATATTTTTTGCCGCTTTAATTTATTTAAAAATACATACGTCTTTTGTAAGCGGTCGACTTTTTACGGGTTCGAATTCTCTCCTGGTTAAGGGAATTTTATCCGTGTCGCCATTTGATTGAAATTAGAAAAAAATGGCAAAAATACCAGCGAGTTTTGGTATGGAGGCGCCGAATTACTGTATGTGTAGGAATGCGCGTATTCTCTACCATAGACGAGGACCGTCCGGCGCTGGTACGGGGCCCGAGAGGGTAGAGTGGGCCTTCCCCTTTGACTTTAATCCCTACTTCTCGACTCGCCCGCCTGCCTATACGCGTAGAGTGGCTCAATAGTTAGTTAACCGCGTATGTTCGGGTACATTTGAGAATACGAATCGTAAACAGAATGTATAATGCGATTTTCTAATAATTAATTGACTAAGTATTCGAATAAGACGGAAATTTATTCTTAGCAGCGGTTAACTGACTTTTGGACCGCCCTATACGTCGACGATAAAATAATTAAATTCTGATAATTACTAATTTAAAGCTTCTAAACGATGTTTTCTCCTATAGTTTTCGCAACTTAACCTTTTTAAGTTTAATTAAATTAAAATTTTAAACTGTTTTACAAAAATAAAATAAAACAATTTTTTAATCCGAATTTAGAATCTTTTCTTTTTAAAGGAAATCGCGTAATAAAATAATTTTAGTAAAAAGTTTTAAAAATAGAAGGATTAAAAAAAATGTAAAATTGGAATTAGTAAGAGAGAATTTTTAGAGTCTGCATAATTACTTTTGATATTTGTATTGGTCGGAAGCCAGGCAAGAGGGTAGAAAGAGGTTATATTTTGGCAAAATAACATAATTGCGACCGCGCAAAAATAATCTAATTTAAAAATTTTGCCGAAATTGTTTCTTCAGAATTTTCAGCATTTTTTAAAGGAGAGCGGAGGGAAATTTTTATTACCTTTCGTAACGAGTTAATGTACATATTAATAAATTTTATAGATAAAAAATTCCCTCTATTGATATCCTTGGAGCGTATAAACGCATTGTCTAGTATCTAGGATATAGAATTTTTTAAGAAATGCTGAAAGGTTAATAAGGTCAAATGCGGTAACTTTGGCGCTTAATTTTTACGTTTTAAATGTTTTTTAAGACTTACAACTGGCGGCCGAATTGGGGAAGACGTTGCTGGAAAGGAATCAAGAGCTAGAATGTAATTTAAGACAATACGCTACTTACGTCGAAGAACAAAATCAAGAAATCGAGGTAATGTAAAAATCGTGAATTGTAATTCAATCAAATTTATGATAAGTAGCCTATATTTCTAGTTTTATCAATGGAGGAAAAACAAACCCAAGGTTTCTTTTTCTTCTTCCTCCGAACTAGTTCAAGTAATTGTAGATGCTTCTGACAAAAGAGCTTCGCTTCCAACATAAAATATTCTAAGTACATCCGCTCCTCGTTTTCCCTCCCCAATTTTTTTCTCACGCCTTTAAACAGAAACAACTATTTTTTAAAATAACCTAAATTTTATATTAATTTCCTACATTTTTCTTTCCTTTTTTTCATGGGTTTAACGCCCTTTTTCCGTTTTGGAACTTTAAATACGGGTTGAGAAAAATGATTTTGTAATCGAGATTTTGTTTTTTTTTGTATAAATATCCTTTTATAAATGCATTTATAATTTCCGAGGATAATTTTTACACAGAATGGCTTTTAAACGTTAATCTTTAACCTCCTTCGGCGTCGTTATCGATAAAATTCGAATTTAAATATTTAATTCCAGTTTTATATATTAAAAATTGGACGCGTATTTAAAATTTTGTCGGCATGGAATAATTGGAAACCGCAAAATTTATTATAATCTTTATATAGATGGTGTTAAGAGGTTAATCCAAGTTGTTTGTAAACGACTGAGTTTAAATGCATATATTTTGAATAAAATCATCATTTAGANAAAATAAGGATTGCATTAACGTATCCATTAATGTAATGCTGGCAAAGCATTTATTCGTATAGCATTAACCCGTAGCGCTTTGTGATTAACCGAAATACGAAATGAAATTTCGCAGCAGTTGAACAGAATTGGCCAGATTTCATTCTTCGGACAAACATTTGTAGCTAACGTTGTCGTAACTGAAAATTTGATATATTGGAGGATGGCGGAGACCCGAAGGAATGGACGATTCTAGGATTAACAATAGCTTCCGCGTAATTCGGATATGTCCTTTGACGGTTGCGTTGTGGGGAATCGTCCAACTACTTAGGCTCCATCCGCATTAGAGATCCACCGGATTCGAGATTAGCGCTGGAAAATGTTGCGTACCGGGCTTTCGATCGTACGAAATTTTTCATTTCGGTAACTTTTACTCGCCTTCTGTTATACGCATCGGCCGAAGTGACCCCCATTTTTGGACTCCGAACCTTTACACGTCGAGAAAGTAAAAAAATTCGCTTTTTTCTGTATGTACGGATGTTAGCGATTTTGTTCTGGCTTTAAAGCTTAATGGGCCTTTTGTCGAACATTTCCGAAACCTTTGCAAGGTTCGTGTATTAGGGATTAGCATCAATTTTCGTGGTTAAAGGTCGAGGGGAGGTAGATAAAGTGGGTCGTATCTCCGGTAGGGTCGGACTTAATGACGGTTTTATTCGTTATTAGCATTTATAATTTTTAAATATAAAACTCATCCTCGCTCTCAAAATTAACTTATAAAATGGAAAAGAGCTTAAACATATTTTTAGAAAATTTTTATAGCGGATGGCGCTACCAAAATTTGAAGCGTTGCCGGGAAAGTTAAGCGATGCGTTTCGTTAAAAATACGAGATTTCGCTCGCTAATTTATTATTTTATTACATTTCTTCCGGTAATCGCAACGAGTATTTTTCCAAAACACCGATCCAATTAGCAATTTCCCGTTGTTTCCTTCTCGACAAAAGGGAAAAAATATATATAAACGGGTTTTCTATACATTACGTCCAACGGAAGGGTAAGGATTATCACATTCAAAGTTAATGCTACGAACCGAGATCCTAAAAACAGTGTACTCGTTAAGGTACGATAGATATTCTTTAAAATTTAGCTAACATAATTTTGATTACTACCAAATAACAGAAATGCAAATACACTTGTGATATAAATTTAAACTGCGACGTATGCATTGCGTTACTTACGATTAGACTTTATAATATTGAGAGTTTGTAATTTAGGAAATGCTTTGATTCAATTCTCATGAAACTAATGGGGTGAAGCTTTGCAGAAGCGTAAACGAATCAGTTTGTAATTTGAAGTTAGATCGTTAGCAGACGTAACTCTGTTAAATGTATAATAAAATTTAAAAGATTAAACACACAAGAATTAGTCATTCTTTTCTACTAGTTTTTTTAATTAAAGGCGTGCAATAATGAGATAATTTTATGTTTGTAGTAATGAATGTGTTCAGAGCCTGTATAAAGGACAAAAATAGTTTCAATTATAATTTTGCACTTTTGGTACTCGAGTTTTAAATTATTTAATAAATTGCTAATTAAAAGTAAATCTTAACTGAATAATGCCAGATAAAGGAGAACGGATGAGAAAAACTTTTATTTTCAATGTTATAAATTTGTAAATATAACTTATTACAAATTTAACAAAATACAAATTTTGAATGTCTTCAATAAATAATTTTCTTTTAATTGCCTGGAAAATAAATTCAATAATTAACAAACACATTCATTGTCATAATAGACTTTTACTTTAAAATTAAAAAGATTTTAACCACTAAATAATTTAAATGTTTTTCGGGCGGTAATTCATTATTAGAGAGGTTGTGGCCGAAGTTTTCGTCTTTAAAACGCGAACGTCGAACGTCGCTATCTTGTAAGCGGCGCTAGACGTTCACGTTTTAAAGATGAAAACTTCGGCCGCAACCGCTCTATTATGTTTTATAAGAAACTTCAAAACGTGAGTGTGCAACGATGTGACCGGTAAAGAACTTTTTGGAAATTTAGCAATTATATCTGGCAGATATAGACTAATATTTCTAAACTTGTCGAGTTTCATTCCTAAATATAAGACAGGCTTATATTTCAACTGATCCGGTGATTAATTAGTGCGGGGCAATATCAAATTACAGACTATTTGGCAAGACTAGATTATACTTGTCGCGGATGGACTCGACCGCGATGGAACCGGCTAACGCGGATGCCGGAGAAAAAATATTGTTCAAATTTGCACCATTTGTGAAATAAGTTGCAAGAATTTGATTATCCGATTGCAGATCCATCACCACACTGGTCTTAATGCCGATATCTGGTAATGTTTGTATTTTGAGTACTAAAACACTTGTTGCAAATTACCATCATTGTAACGCCTGTTTACATCTCTGATATAATTTTGTGTCATTGTTTATAAAAGTTAATTTTTGATGTGGAAAAAGTCTATGTAATTAAAAACACTCAATTATAAAGATATTGATATTAAACACAACTTCGTTATTTTCTTAACTACATTATGATTAATTTTCAACATTACAGTAAATGCAGATTCAAACACACAACACTTTATGCTATCAATATTAACACATTTGCTACATAAGTTCACTTACAATGTACACATTATTTGTCAGATGCTGTGCATTTAAAATTGGTTTTTGAACACCACGTGGTACGTGGTGTTTTATTCTTAATTCGTAACACCAAAAGTACTTACGCTTCAAATATAGCACTCGATATTACAGATGCTTTATTTATTGCCTTATATTCGAGATAAATTCCTAACATAAAAAATGCAGCCAAGTTAACAATGAATTTTATTGCGGTGGTAAGCAATGGTGGAATGTGGTGTGGTGGCCGATAAGAAAGAAAGAAATCTAGCGTCTGTGCATTTGTTTCTTTCGCCTTAACATATTTGCAACGTACCCAACATTAAGAATGTGTTAATTTAAATATATACAATCATAATTCACTTGTTTTGGATGATAAATCAAACTTTATGAAGACAATGTTTAAATTGCATTTTTTAAAACAGGGTTAAAAGAAAAAGAGAGAGAGATAAGTAAGCAAAGTTCTAAAACTTTTCTTACAAATAATAAAATCTAAATGAACACCTAATCAAATGGTTAAATGCGGCTAAAATTCTTTGACTCGATAGATTCAAAAACAATATTTAAGAAAAACTAAAAAGTCAGATTAAAAATAAAGAAATAAGCAATGCAAAAAAAAGTATAATGAGAGAATGCTAGACAGATTCAGGCAAATATTCAGTTTATTATTCAGACTGTTTGTTGAGACACTTATCATAGTAGATAAAAAAAACACCCGAATCTTGTGATTGAAAGATCTGTCCTGAAAATACAGTCAATTTGACTGTCATCATCAGACAAAGGCTAGATTTTGAAAGTCCATCTTAAGTTTGGAATAAAGGTACACGTGGAACTTTGAAAGTTACAATTGCATAACAATGCTAGGCATATCGCTGATGACACTGCAAATCTCTTCCCTATCTCACCCCTAGACCTAATTTGACCCCACTAGATTTCTGCCTGTAATGCATAATGAAAAAACACTTTCAAATCTACATTTCTAGACTGCAGATTTCCTAGGAAGTTAAGCACTGGTTATATCAGCAGGACATATGTTTCTAACACTAAAAGTGTCAAGTCCCTTACCCGGCAATTTTATTATGTTTTTTCACGTTTATATTAATAATTTATCTTCCCGTAATGTAGTTGTTCGTGTTTGTTCTAGATGGCGAGGAGGGGACGCCTATTTAAAATTTTGTCGGCATGGAATAATTGGAAACCGCAAAATTTATTATAATCTTTATATAGATGGTGTTAAGAGGTTAATCCAAGTTGTTTGTAAACGACTGAGTTTAAATGCATATATTTTGAATAAAATCATCATTTAGATAATTATCGGGGAAAATACGTTCCATATTTAACAAAAAAAGTTTTTACGGCGACTAAAAAAATTGATATCTACCTTATGACATGGTTACCTTTATCACTACCTTACGATATTATTAATAGCGTAATGACCTTTTTATCGTTATTTTTATGCGGTGTCGACACGAGTATATTTAAAGTAATATATTATAAAATATTTTAGGAATTAATAATAATAATAATAATAATGACAATTATTTCGTCGTTTGAGTTATCGAATTCGCGTTACAACTGACTAAAGTACAGCGCATGGATAAGGAAGCGAATACTATAAATTAATGCCGTTTTATATAATGTGTAAATGAATTTATGTACCTAAATATATTATCTACGCGTCAGTCATAAATTTATATACAAAAATTTTAATTATTATATAAGATCTTGGCTGTAAATCCACTCGTCCATCCAGGTTAATTCCGAGCTTTGCATCAAAATATCTAATAATGTTCCGTTCTTAAATTAGTTATAAACAAATTTATTTTATGTAAAAGCCAGTGATTTAAATAAGAATTTAATATAAATGGTGATTAAAATTTCCGTGACAGTTCCTGACCAGGCAGCTTTCCGCTATGAAAGATGTCAACGAATCTCGCCTGAAGCTCTACGAACAGTTAGAGACGAGTATCGCCGAATTCGACAAGACAAATATCAAACTGCAACAAGAATCGATCGCCGATAAGAAAAAGATAAAAAGGTAAATTTCGGCCAACGATCTTTTATTTTGCGAGCGACTCGAAAAACTTGTATGTATTTTTCTCTCTAGTCTCAATAATACGGTGAATTTGCTGGAGAAAAGATGCGAAGATTTAGAAATGTTAGTGGAAGAGTTAAAAAATACGAGAGAATACGGAGAAACCATACAAGAAATCATCAAGCATAACGATTGCGACATCCTTGTAAAGACAAAAGACGTCTTCAAGAACAAAGTAATTTTTATTAAATTAACTGCGTGTCGTTAATCAGTTTTTAAGTTTTTGGATGTATTACGATCCCGCAGATGCTATTTTACATTTATTTGCATTAAATGCAGCTGCCGAAAAGATTGATTGCTAAATACTTCGGAGCAGCTGCAACCTTTTACGTCACCCGATGTAATAGGAAAAATTACTTTTCCAGACATTTAATATTTCTAAGAAGCTGGTATAACAATATTTTGTAAAAAGTTCGGTTAAAAGGCCGTACGATTGGTATAACTCGGTGTCAACAGATAGTCGTAGCATATACCTGTCGTACAGCCTCTTGGAGAAAGGTTTCGAGCTTTCGTATTACTTAAAACAATATTTTATATTATACAAAAGTAATTTTAACAAAAATTTCTTTTAATTAATTTCTCGTGTTAAGCTTAATTAAGCTTCGGATAGTTTTAATTATATTTTTACCCCGTAAAGACGTGTTCGCTGTATAACTCGTAACTGAACAGCGAAGCCAACTTTCGGCCGACGGGTTCTTTTTATTTTCGATGAAACCCGGTTTTGTTAGATTTATAAATACAGCGGATCTATAATAACAATAGTTTATTAAGATTAAAACACGCGTTTAGCGATCTCGGAATTAACTAAAACTGTTTTGTAATTCCAGGAAAATGAATACGAAGAGGAAATTTGCAAATTGAAAGCATCCCTTTCCAAAGCAAAAAGCAATATGGCCAGGGAACAGAGACAGAGAGAAGAATTGGAACTTGAACTTAGTTTCTTGTTACAGGTTAATTATGAAATTCTCATAGTAAAAATTAAGTTAAATTTGTAGAAATTTCAATACATATTCGTTTATAAATTTCGTAGGACAATACGACTCTTCAGAAACAGTTAGAATGTTACAAAGAGAAATTGTTATATTTGGATGGAAAATGTAGTCGGCAGGACGAATACGAATGGTAATTAAACGCATTAAATGCAAATTTTTAAATAATTTTAATTAAAAAGTATAAAATTAAAATGAACGTAATTTATCGCTACTGTTGCGCTTAGCAGTAAACAAATTAATATAATGTCCTCGATGGTGCTTTAGTCTTTCGAATAGGAATTACGAAGTTTCAAAACAGTGGTCGGTGTGCCAAAAAAGGCCTCCTATTTTAAGGGGCTAAATTTCAGTCGATTCGTTGACCCCGTCTATGCCTCCTGACGGGGCACTCGCTCATCTCGCGTACTTAATCCACGTGTCAAGGTCGAGCGGTAGTTCGTTATCAATGGGTATGCTTAACGATGACGTCGAGTCGTACTTACCCGGCAATTTTATTATGTTTTTTCACGTTTATATTAATAATTTATCTTCCCGTAATGTAGTTGTTCGTGTTTGTTCTAGATGACGTGGATTAGTAAATCAAAATTCACTCGTCAGCTTTCTTTTCGTCCACTACGACTCGATGCCACCGTTAAATCTGTCCGTGTATATTATATATTCCTTCTAGAGTATGTGTGTGGTCTCGTTGTCTCTTCTGAATAATTAGGAAAAATAAGGTTTCCTGTACCCAATAATGCGCCTTTAAAAGGTATACGTGTTCGCAGGTTGGATGGAAAGTAACTGGGCATCGAGAAATCGTTATAATATTTGTAATGATGACGAAATCGTAATAAAATTTATGCATGCATATACATCGAGCGATAGAATTTCATGATAATTGAATCGATGATGTAGACTGTGACCGAGAGAGTCGGTGCGCTTCTCTCGGTCGCAGTAGCAGAAAATATGGCCTATCACTTGTCTGTTCGCTATGAAGTGTGTAAATATGTGATTGCTACGCAGAGATGGTGGAGTACAGTGAAGGAACCTCTTGCCACAATCCGTCAGGAAACAATAGAGTTGTCATTCAAAACTAAAATGTCCACAGATTCGGTCGCAGACGCGCAGAGCCGTGGCCGTTCAACCACACCGCGATCCGAGGAAAACGTGTCGTTGGTGGGTGGAACTGATGCCTAAATTGAATTTTAAAATATGCACCAGTATTTCCATTTAATAAGGTACTTGACAAGTAATTTTAACCATCATTGCTTTAGAAATGTAGAAATTATAGCAATTTCTTAATGCCTAGTTACTTTCTATCCACCCTTTAGAAACTTATAACACTAGATTGGATAGCAATAACGAATAAGCTAAAGTTTAAGGAATCAAAACGGATGGAAATTATTTTGGCAATGCCAGTTTGTGATCCCGACTAAGCTTAAATGTATAACGTGAATACGTACTTTTGTGCAGAAAATACACGCCTTTCATTTACATTTCAAATGAAAACTCGCCAACTTTTTATGCAGATAAGAAAGAGAACTTTCTTAAACTAGAATTTAGAAAAAAATTTTCACACGTTCTGGTGACCTGACCTCAGGTGTGTGTATGTTGTGTATATATATACATACAGCATTTGTGATCTAAAATAAAAGTCTTGTCGGTGAATGGTACTAATAATCTGATTAAAAACTTGAATAGTCGTTACACCTCCTTCGTTCATATTTGGCTCATTTTCATACGAAATTAAACACTAACGGAAGAATTTGTAGAAAGGAATTAACTGAAGTCTAGCCCTTTGAAATGCTAAGAAAGATATCTTCCCTAAATTCTGTACGAGTTATTGAAGGAACAATGAAATTATGCAAGAGAATTCATAAATGCCAAACTTTTGAAGTTTCTTCGAAAGAATTCTGCAAAATTCCAAATACCGGAGTTCAATGGTTTAAACCACCGAACACTGGTCGCGAGTTCGCGCCTCACCAAAAGAGTTTCCGGTTTACGTGTCCAACACCTAAATAGGGGCAGTTTCTGGTAGAATGTCCTTTCGGAAGGCATCCATCCTTGGCAGATGGGCCGTGTGTTTAATTAATTATCCTACATTGTGGTCCGAAAGTTTGTTAACCGAGTTAATTGATTTGGGGCCATACGGTTCTTCAAATTCGTTGTATTCACAGTATTTTTTGGTTTGTTACAATTTAATAATTCTTTAAGATAAATACTTTTTTAAAAATTTCCTTACAGAATAAATCTATTTCTTTACAGTATCCAGATCAACAGATCGCTTCATCATCATCATCAATCGTCCATAAACGATCTTATGTACATGCAATCCGACGTGGAGGACGATTCTCTAACTAAAGAGGACCTGACGCTTTTCCACCTCAATAATGGCGTCGTGGCTTACGGAAAACAGGATTCAATTCTTCCCGTTAGTAACTTAATCAACGATTCTCAATACGAAATGAGGAATGCCACGTCTCTTCTGAACGAACTCGATGCTCAGTATCGAGTTCTTATAGATAAGTACGAATACATGGTTCAGAGCAGGGTAAAGAAAGACGATTCGAAGAATATAAACTACGAAGATTCATCCACGAAAGATTCTTTCGTCTCGAATTCAAACGACACGAAAGATTCGTCCGATTGGGATTCTGGAATTTCAGAAATTTCGGATCAGAGTCTATCGAGCCAAGTGAGTGTCCAGACGGATATTTCGAATAAATCCATCGAAGGAAACTTTAAACACGGGCCGCCAGCTTACAAGAAGCTGTTTGCCGAAATTTTTAGTGTCTTGAAACGATCTTTGCCCAACGACGGCGAAGAAGAATCAAAAGACGCGGTTGCCAAGGAATCGGTCGTGCCAAATTCTACTTCGGAGCAAATGCAAATTAATTCAAAAGAGGACTTTTCCGCGACCGAAAAGAAGAAATCGGAACGTTCCGATAAAGTAAACACTGCGAAAAAGACTAACGATGCTCCAGTTTTGAGCAGGATACAGCCATCATCGGTTACTTCTCAACGTAAGTTTGTGAGTAAGAAATCGTGCAACGAAATTGTAAAAAACATAAAAAATTCCGCATTTGCAGAAATTCGAGCCAAGTTCGAAAACAGCAATAGCAATATACCCGTTAAAAAGAACTATTATAAGACGTACGCCGATGTCTTGAAGGGAAGACATCGAGTCGTCCCTCAAATCCAATAAAGACGATTCTCTAACTAAAACTCACACCCCCAACCATTGAATATTTTACTCGCTTTTAACAGATGGGATACTAAAAACATGAATTAATTGCTTAGAATTTTAAATATTGTATTTAACGGAATATTCAAAATTTGTATATTTTAAAAATATATTTTTTAAACGTGATTATTTTTAAAACTAAACCCGTGGAAATACCTTTTGTAGAAACGGATTTTTTGTATGTCATCTTGTAAATTGGTAATTTAAAAAAAATCAATCTCTAAGTTTCGGGGACTTCTTGTTTATTATCTAACAATTTTTCCACCGCTCCATCTGCCGCTCTGGATAACGAGTTCGTATATCTCGAGAGCACGATACATGCGGGTCCTATCCGCCATTGTTGGCTTAACTGTACCCGTGCACGAAAGCACGAAAAAAGGCTTCCTTAGTTAAAATAAGGATTGCATTAACGTATCCATTAATGTAATGCTGGCAAAGCATTTATTCGTATAGCATTAACCCGTAGCGCTTTGTGATTAACCGAAATACGAAATGAAATTTCGCAGCAGTTGAACAGAATTGGCCAGATTTCATTCTTCGGACAAACATTTGTAGCTAACGTTGTCGTAACTGAAAATTTGATATATTGGAGGATGGCGGAGACCCGAAGGAATGGACGATTCTAGGATTAACAATAGCTTCCGCGTAATTCGGATATGTCCTTTGACGGTTGCGTTGTGGGGAATCGTCCAACTACTTAGGCTCCATCCGCATTAATTAGAGATCCACCGGATTCGAGATTAGCGCTGGAAAATGTTGCGTACCGGGCTTTCGATCGTACGAAATTTTTCATTTCGGTAACTTTTACTCGCCTTCTGTTATACGCATCGGCCGAAGTGACCCCCATTTTTGGACTCCGAACCTTTACACGTCGAGAAAGTAAAAAAATTCGCTTTTTTCTGTATGTACGGATGTTAGCGATTTTGTTCTGGCTTTAAAGCTTAATGGGCCTTTTGTCGAACATTTCCGAAACCTTTGCAAGGTTCGTGTATTAGGGATTAGCATCAATTTTCGTGGTTAAAGGTCGAGGGGAGGTAGATAAAGTGGGTCGTATCTCCGGTAGGGTCGGACTTAATGACGGTTTTATTCGTTATTAGCATTTATAATTTTTAAATATAAAACTCATCCTCGCTCTCAAAATTAACTTATAAAATGGAAAAGAGCTTAAACATATTTTTAGAAAATTTTTATAGCGGATGGCGCTACCAAAATTTGAAGCGATGCGTTTCGTTAAAAATACGAGATTTCGCTCGCTAATTTATTATTTTATTACATTTCTTCCGGTAATCGCAACGAGTATTTTTCCAAAACACCGATCCAATTAGCAATTTCCCGTTGTTTCCTTCTCGACAAAAGGGAAAAAATATATATAAACGGGTTTTCTATACATTACGTCCAACGGAAGGGTAAGGATTATCACATTCAAAGTTAATGCTACGAACCAAGATCCTAAAAACAGTGTACTCGTTAAGGTACGATAGATATTCTTTAAAATTTAGCTAACATAATTTTGATTACTACCAAATAACAGAAATGCAAATACACTTGTGATATAAATTTAAACTGCGACGTATGCATTGCGTTACTTACGATTAGACTTTATAATATTGAGAGTTTGTAATTTAGGAAATGCTTTGATTCAATTCTCATGAAACTAATGGGGTGAAGCTTTGCAGAAGCGTAAACGAATCAGTTTGTAATTTGAAGTTAGATCGTTAGCAGACGTAACTCTGTTAAATGTATAATAAAATTTAAAAGATTAAACACACAAGAATTAGTCATTCTTTTCTACTAGTTTTTTTAATTAAAGGCGTGCAATAATGAGATAATTTTATGTTTGTAGTAATGAATGTGTTCAGAGCCTGTATAAAGGACAAAAATAGTTTCAATTATAATTTTGCACTTTTGGTACTCGAGTTTTAAATTATTTAATAAATTGCTAATTAAAAGTAAATCTTAACTGAATAATGCCAGATAAAGGAGAACGGATGAGAAAAACTTTTATTTTCAATGTTATAAATTTGTAAATATAACTTATTACAAATTTAACAAAATACAAATTTTGAATGTCTTCAATAAATAATTTTCTTTTAATTGCCTGGAAAATAAATTCAATAATTAACAAACACATTCATTGTCATAATAGACTTTTACTTTAAAATTAAAAAGATTTTAACCACTAAATAATTTAAATGTTTTTCGGGTGGTAATTCATTATTAGAGAGGTTGTGGCCGAAGTTTTCGTCTTTAAAACGCGAACGTCGAACGTCGCTATCTTGTAAGCGGCGCTAGACGTTCACGTTTTAAAGATGAAAACTTCGGCCGCAACCGCTCTATTATGTTTTATAAGAAACTTCAAAACGTGAGTGTGCAACGATGTGACCAATAAAGAACTTTCTGGAAATTTAGCAATTATATCTGGCAGATATAGACTAATATTTCTAAACTTGTCGAGTTTCATTCCTAAATATAAGACAGGCTTATATTTCAACTGATCCAGTGATTAATTAGTGAAGGGCAATATCAAATTACACACTATTTGGCAAGACTCGATTATACTTGTCGCGGACGGACTCGACCGCGGCGGAACCGGCTAACGCGGATGCCGGAGAAAAAATATTGTTCAAATTTGCACCATTTGTGAAATAAGTTGCAAGAATTTGATTATCCGATTGCAGATCCATCACCACACTGGTCTTAATGCCGATATCTGGTAATGTTTGTATTTTGAGTACTAAAACACTTGTTGCAAATTACCATCATTGTAACGCCTGTTTACATCTCTGATATAATTTTGTGTCATTGTTTATAAAAGTTAATTTTTGATGTGGAAAAAGTCTATGTAATTAAAAACACTCAATTATAAAGATATTGATATTAAACACAACTTCGTTATTTTCTTAACTACATTATGATTAATTTTCAACATTACAGTAAATGCAGATTCAAACACACAACACTTTATGCTATCAATATTAACACATTTGCTACATAAGTTCACTTACAATGTACACATTATTTGTCAGATGCTGTGCATTTAAAATTGGTTTTTGAACACCACGTGGTACGTGGTGTTTTATTCTTAATTCGTAACACCAAAAGTACTTACGCTTCAAATATAGCACTCGATATTACAGATGCTTTATTTATTGCCTTATATTCGAGATAAATTCCTAACATAAAAAATGCAGCCAAGTTAACAATGAATTTTATTGCGGTGGTAAGCAATAGTGGAATGTGGTGTGGTGACCGATAAGAAAGAAAGAAATCTAGCGTCTGTGCATTTGTTTCTTTCGCCTTAACATATTTGTAACGTACCCAACATTAAGAATGTGTTAATTTAAATATATACAATCATAATTCACTTGTTTTGGATGATAAATCAAACTTTATGAAGACAATGTTTAAATTGCATTTTTTAAAACAGGGTTAAAAGAAAAAGAGAGAGAGATAAGTAAGCAAAATTCTAAAACTTTTCTTACAAATAATAAAATCTAAATGAACACCTAATCAAATGGTTAAATGCGACTAAAATTCTTTGACTCGATAGATTCGAAAACAATATTTAAGAAAAACTAAAAAAGTCAGATTAAAAATAAAGAAATAAGCAATGCAAAAAAAGGTAAATAAATAAACATCAACTCACAGCCCGAGTAGATAATAACAACATCAAACGATCGCCTAATTATCGGGCTAAGGAGGTCCCCGGGTCGTGGGCGAAGGAGTCGTCCCCAGTCGGTGATGTATTTAACCAAGTAAGGTTATATCTAAATCTAATATACTTCTGGAAGCGAAGACTAGCTCGGGGTCCGGGTGGCGTAACTGGCAAGCGCACCGCACGGCAAGCAGAGGTTGCGGTTTCAAGCCCCATCCCGGGCCAGTTCTTTTATTCCAGAATGTTCTAAATTTATTTATTTAATTATTAATTTAATTAAGAGATGGCGCCTAACGCCTACCTCTAATTGTCAAATTACTTAGTTCCAATCATTTAAAATAGCCATATTATAGCCCGATAATTAGGCGATCGTTTGATGTTGCAAAAAAAGGTATAATGAGAGAATGCTAGACAGATTCAGGCAAACATTCAGTTTATTATTCAGACTGTTTGTTGAGACACTTATCATAGTAGATAAAAAAAACACCCGAATCTTGTGATTGAAAGATCTGTCCTGAAAATACAGTCAATTTGACTGTCATCATCAGACAAAGGCTAGATTTTGAAAGTCCATCTTAAGTTTGGAATAAAGGTACACGTGGAACTTTGAAAGTTACAATTGCATAACAATGCTAGGCATATCGCTGATGACACTGCAAATCTCTTCCCTATCTCACCCCTAGACCTAATTTGACCCCACTAGATTTCTGCCTGTAATGCATAATGAAAAAACATTTTCAAATCTACATTTCTATACTGTAGATTTCCTAGGAAGTTAAGCACTGGTTATATCAGCAGGACATATGTTTCTAACACTAAAAGTGTCAAGTCCTCTCAATCTTCTACAAAAAGTGTCTTGTCAGACTAGGTAATTGCATTGAAAAATTAACTGAATGTGTGCCTATATTCAACATTTCTGCTCTGACTTGTTTACATTTAAACCAAAATTAGGAAACCATGCATTTTGTTGTGCTCTTGCATCATAGTAACCTGATTATTTATTTTAATTTTGACTGTATGCAACATCACTAATTATAGTGTCATATTCCAAGGTTTCAACTCTAGTAGCAGTTGATTATTATATTTATTATTAGTTATGATTATCAGTATCTAAAGGGTTAAAATAGTATCAAATATATATACTTAGACTTTGATTATATATACCTTTTAATTATCACCTATCTTTTAATATCATAGAACCGAGATACGTCGCCGTTCCCAAACTTAAACTGTCCGACATCGTCACCGATGATGGACTACTTTCTGGAACAAATTCTTCATCCTTAAAATTAAAAATGATCGAGTAAATATTCTGTGCTTATTTATTAAAATATGCATATGTAGTTACATTTAATGAAGAGTAATTCTTAGTCTCAGATTATTGAACTATTTAATATAATAATGCAATAAGTTTTATAAACAAACTTTTATTCTATGTTGTTTTTGAAATCGTGTTTTGCAAATATATTGGACTTCAAACTCAAATGTGAGTTATAAATAAACACTTGGCTTTATTTATAACTCACATTTATATCTCCAGATTGTTTACTTTAATAATTCATTAAAGAATTATAGCCCAACAAAGCCATTGCTATTTAGCTTATGTTGGCATTTCACTTACCTTCATTTCATTCTCTTCTTCTGATGGTTGCTTATATATTCTATATAAGTTCTGAATTCTTTCACCAGAACTAAGTGAAAATAATATATATATTTTTTTATTAACAAAAATTTAAAGAAAAATAAAACAAATGTAAAGTTTTATATTAGACTCACTCTTATTTCATTCTAAAATAATGAGAATTTGGGAATTAATCTTTGTCTATTTAATTTTTTAAAAGCATTATGAAGTTTTAAGAAAATGCTTAATGTCAGTTTACAGTTAGCTGCATCCAATGGCAACAAAACATTTTATCCTTGTCCATAAAATCTCATACTTTTATGTTATTTTAAGATACATTCATTTTGTAATGAGAGTCTATTATAATATTTTAAGAAATAGCTGTTTAATAACTTACATTTTCAGTNTCTTCTACAAAAAGTGTCTTGTCAGACTAGGTAATTGCATTGAAAAATTAACTGAATGTGTGCCTATATTCAACATTTCTGCTCTGACTTGTTTACATTTAAACCAAAATTAGGAAACCATGCATTTTGTTGTGCTCTTGCATCATAGTAACCTAATTATTTATTTTAATTTTGACTGTATGCAACATCACTAATTATAGTGTCATATTCCAAGGTTTCAACTCTAGTAGCAGTTGATTATTATATTTATTATTAGTTATGATTATCAGTATCTAAAGGGTTAAAATAGTATCAAATATATATACTTAGACTTTGATTATATATACCTTTTAATTATCACCTATCTTTTAATATCATAGAACCGAGATACGTCGCCGTTCCCAAACTTAAACTGTCCGACATTGTCACTGATGATGGACTACTTTCTGGAACAAATTCTTCATCCTGAAAATTAAAAATGATCGAGTAAATATTTTGTGCTTATTTATTAAAATATGCATATGTAGTTACATTTAATGAAGAGTAATTCTTAGTCTCAGATTATTGAACTATTTAATATAATAATGCAATAAGTTTTATAAACAAATTTTTATTCTATGTTGTTTTTGAAACCGTGTTTTGCAAATATATTGGACTTCGAACTCAAATGTGCATTATAAATAAACACTTGGCTTTATTTATAACTCACATTTATATCTCCAGATTGTTTACTTTAATAATTCATTAAAGAATTATAGCCCAACAAAGCCATTGCTATTTAGCTTATGTTGGCATTTCACTTACCTTCATTTCATTCTCTTCTTCTGATGGTTGCTTATATATTCTATATAAGTTCTGAATTCTTTCACCAGAACTAAGTGAAAATAATATATATATTTTTTTATTAACAAAAATTTAAAGAAAAATAAAACAAATGTAAAGTTTTATATTAGACTCACTCTTATTTCATTCTAAAATAATGAGAATTTGGGAATTAATCTTTGTCTATTTAATTTTTTAAAAGCATTATGAAGTTTTAAGAAAATGCTTAATGTCAGTTTACAGTTAGCTGCATCCAATGGCAACAAAACATTTTATCCTTGTCCATAAAATCTCATACTTTTATGTTATTTTAAGATACATTCATTTTGTAATGAGAGTCTATTATAATATTTTAAGAAATAGCTGTTTAATAACTTACATTTTTAGTATGTAAGGATCAAAAGGAAAAAATATATCCAATCTCATCACATTTATCGACTGCGAGATTCCCGAAGTGTGCGCAACGACAGGTAAAACACTGCGGTTATTTCTCTCGATGATCGTGTAACAGTACACTATTTGGTAAGTTTTAGTAATATTTGCAAAGTTCGCAACCACTGATGGTGAACACATCTTTAAAGGATTTAAACGACAATTGACTATACGTTCGAAATTCAGTTTCCGTACGTGTTTCAACCCTAAAATTGTGAAAATGATATTTAAATATAAATATTAGTTATTTATAACAACATTATTTTGTAAATACTAAAATAGTTTTTAGTTTAATAAAATTTCATATCCAATAAAATTCGACAATACACTAAATTATTTTTACATTTTGAGTAAATAATGCCTCTTTAGACCATTTTGATCATAACTCATCAATGCAGTTTTATAAATTATTAAAGAATATAACAGACATTATATTCAGTTACCATGTATTTCAAAATAAATAATGACAGATAAAATAAGTGATTTATTTGGAATTATTAATACAATTAAAAATATAATCCATACAAATAAATTTAAATATTAAATAAACAAATGGAAATTCATAAAAAGTAAATGCAAAACATTCAAAAAGACTTTATTGTTTATATATTGAATTTCCTCAAAGATGTGCTTTAAGACATTTATATTCTAAGATGTACTTTTTAAATCCATTTTTACTTGTTATGGATTTTTAATGACCACGAGAATGTTAAAGAAGTTACTATATACGTAAAACAGAACAGGAATATAACTTCCAAAAGTTATCTATTTTGTGGTATTTGTATTGTTTCTTTTCACTTGCTACTTAATATAACTGATTATTCTTCTCTCCATAAAAATAAACCTTAAAATTCAATTTCAAAATCCTAATATACAAAATTTCAATTAATGATGTAACAATATAATTTACATTTATAATGCTTTTAAACATTCTTTTATAAAAGTTCCTCCTTAATGTTAAGATACAACTTTTATCTAATATATAGCTTATAATTAATCCTAAACACTAAAACATTACAATTTTTGACTTACTGTTTAAACTCTAAAGTATTTGCCATTAAATCTTATTATGTAAGAGAATGGAAAGATAAATCCATGCAGTATAATAATAATAATTGTAATTCCAGTTATTTGTTCTTCACTTATATGGTGACACCAACCAAATTATACAAGAAATATCTACTCAAATGTACTCAAGATACAAATTTATTTAACTTATTAATATTAGAGTGGAAGTATAGCACCAAATCATCTTTGTAGTTCCTTCTAAACAATTCTCCACTGACTTATCAAGATGATAAGCCAGTGTTTTCAATCCTTCAGGTCGAACAAAAATGTTGCTTTAATCAAATGCCTTTGCATTTTAACCTGGAGACGTGTCTGATTAACAGAACATTTTTAAAACACAATGTTTATGTTTGACCTGAAGAAGATCCAGCTGGAGGATCGAAAACTTTAATCGTTATCAAGATAAGTCACTGGAAAATTGTTTAGAAGGTACTACAAAGAGGATTTGGTGCTAAAGAATTTATTTCATTATTGAAATACCAAGGCATTAATTTGAACTGTACTTGTTATTAACCTTTAACTCAAAGCACCATCCTTAAGTGCAAGGATGGTGCTGCGAGTTAAAGGTTAATTGTAATTCCAGTTATTTGAGTAGAAGAGAAACTTTCCAAAATTTAATAAAGGCAATCATTCATTGATATTCACTTTTTTTGATGTACTAAATATTTTTAAATTATATATAAAGTAAGTGAAGCAAAAATACCTTGATATGAAGACCATACAGGTCAGTAAAGTAATTTCATAAAAATATTCAGACTTACCATTTTCTGTTTCAATTAATCCCTTGTGATGAAAGACAAAAACATAAAAAACAGTTTGGCAAACAGTATAAAATGTACCATGAATAACTGTATCTGTAATGCACTGTGCATTTTCACACTGGGAATCTATGTATTTATGTATCCAGTTTGTCATAATATTTAATATATCTTTTAAACCACTGTAAAGAAAATTAGTTATCAGATTATAGAGAACTAGATAGAATTTTATTAAGAGAAATAAACATAACTTACTTTATTGATACATAACTTGCCCGAGCAAGGAAACTTCCTATGTAGCATGCGCATGCTTGTCTAATAACAGACGGTAAATTTACATTTTGAACTTTCTTCCATAGATAATCGATAAAACCTTCATATAATGGCTTTAAAAAAAGATAAATAGTACTAATGATTAAATGTTCATTCAATTTAATTGTAAATTTATATAAACATTTCTACATTTATTTCCAATTTAGATATTACAAACTGCTTCAAACAACTGAATTGCATAAACTAAGTTACTTTGTAAAGTACTATATTATTTTTCCGATTTTTCCAATGATTATCGACACGACTGTGTGCCTGAAATAGCCGTTACCTAACAGGTACTTTACGCGGATTCGCGTTAGTGTGCCAGGCCTGGACTTTAAGCGTGCACCAAATTAAATAATGACAAAGTTTGTCAATAACAAATCAAATATTTAATAAAAGTTCTAGTAATAAACTATATACAAACTTTAGTAAAAATCAAGTAGTAATTTATTCAATGAAAGTCAATAAGAATCAACCTGACAAAACTCCAATCAATCTATTTTCTAACTTAATTCTATTCCCCTTTGGAATTTGACAAAATTCAAAGACTTAACTTATATACAATAATTCTTATGAATTAAAGATCCTAATCGTCACCTCAATATACTAGGAACCTATCTCCTCAACTCTCAAGACTTTCTCTAATCTTTGATCCACATATTGAATAACTTCAAAATTGCCTTGGAACTATTTGATCCTATCGGACACCTCTCTCTCTCATTTGCTGCTACGAAGCTCACCAAGCTCGTTGCTATCAGAAGGTCACCTCGGTCATCTTCACTTGACGTTCGGACTTTATACTGTGAGGTGACGCCACAATTCTGAATGCGATTACTCCCCTCATTTACATACTTATTTGCAAACAATAAACTTTTTCTATTTGTCTGGCAGCCTATTTTCCGACAATACTCGCTAACCTTTTACATTATCCTTTTTGACAATTTTCGGGATGTTTTTACTCTTTAAAGTTTAGCGAGTCCCTAAGTTGTGCTTGTGGGGTCTCCCCCTTTTCTCGGTGCGGACTTACTTTTTCCGCTCGGGAGTGCGAGTTTTTTCTACGGCGCTTTTCTCTCGTTGGTGAGTTGGTTTCTCTTCTATTTTTAAGTTTCTGAGGTGAATGGTGAGGAAACCTTTGTCCTAACAAAACATAAGCCCCAAACAAAAATATAATAAAAAGCAAAATAAAAGTAAATAAAAATAATGCTTGGACTTGGTTCCTTACAACTTTAATTTCAAAACAGACTTAAAAAATGTTTCTGATAAAATAAAAACTACAGACTTTTATATTTGAGTCTGTTTGATTTGAAATTTTAATAAAACACATTAACAAATTACCCATGAAAATCTTTTAGCAGCAAGGGAAATTATGTTTAATTTGATGCACATGTTTTTGATCTCTGTAAAAGACATCCTCAGACAACAAATAAATCAAATAACACTAGAATAGAGCATGTTATTCACCTGAAGTTTTTGAATTTTTATTTCATTCGACACCTGCACCTTTTACACACAATCTTAGTTGTATTAGATTTATCCTGTTGCTCGAGGATGGTCTTTTAAAAGGACCAGAAACGTTCGTATTGATTAACCATAATTTCCCTTGCAGCTAAAAGATTTTTATGAATTCATTAGTACTTTTTACAGCAATTTGATATGACTTAATCATATTAACAAATATTTTTGTTGGTTAAATATTTTTTCCCTCCTCCATTTATCTGACAATATCTTTAATTAAATATGGCACAGTAGTGGTTTTGAAACATCCACTAAACAACAGTTCCTATTAAAATCTAGCAACTGAAAACATCTATGCCTGTAATAAGGTTTGATCCTATTATCTGGCAAACTTAGAAACAGCCTGCTAATATTTTCTAATTAAAGTATTAATTCATTCTATATTTAGAGACTGACTGACTTAATAGTATTTTTATATTATTTCATAATACTCTAAAAGTTTCTACCCAAAGAAAAATACACAATTCAGCATAAAAACATGAACGTTAAGACCAGGTTATCTTCAATTTTGTTCACATTAAATGATTGTAGTTTCTGTTTAATAAAAATACTCAGCTTAATCTTTATATATTTTACATAAATATATGTGAAGTATACTCTAAAATATATTTATTTGTTAGCAGGAAATTTATGAAATTGCAAATTTGGCATATAAAAAGTGATTTAGTAAAGCTTTTAGTATAAGAGTAAACTGTCCTTGTTAATTTTTATATTATCTACAATTTAACTTTTATCATATAATATTTGTCTATAATGCTTTTTACATTTAGTTATATATAAAAATATAAATGCAAGCAAATTCACATTTTAAACATCAATTTGATTAATTTATATTTTCTGAACAATTTAGTTAAGTAAAGCTCAAAAAGATTAGTTTTGAAAAATACATTTATAGATCAATTATGCTATCAAAAATTCTTACAAGTTGCAGAACTTACCTGTTTAAAACTACAGATGTAAAACATAACAAACTGTACATGTGCACAAGCATGAGTTGGCAATATCAATCGTTCAAACAACAACAGAAATTCTTTATATAATTTTTTAGTTGCTTCCCAGTCAAGGCAAGAATCTAAAAGTAATAGGCAAATATCAGTATAAAATGCTGACATTTTTTTCATTAATATATAACTGTACTGTACATAAAAATTATAAAACCTATAAACAACAACCAAATAGCTACAAGCTGAATTTCTTTCGAGCTATAATTAGGCTAGACATTAGTTCAAATTATTTTGTTTCAATGATTAAAAGGTGAATAAAGATGAAGTTGTGGATTTGAGTCTAACTCTGGGTATATACTCTCTTCCAGAACATTTTAAATTATTATATTTAATTTTAGAATTAATGTAATTATTAAATTTAGGCAAGACATTAGTCTACCTTTAATCCAAATTATTTTGTTTCCATAATTGATGGCTAGACCAAATACAGCCCCGAAGGAAACCGGGCTTGTAAATGGTTTGATAAAACTCCTTCAAGAAAACCATATTGTATGGAATTTGCCATTCTATGTTTTTAAAAACTATTTTTAAAACACAAATCTATGTTGTTAAAAAATGCACTTTTTAACACACATTACTTTGTTCTGTTAAACAAAGACACTATTTGTCAACCAGTTTTCCAGTTTAATTAATAAAACTAGCTGAGGTGGCTAAGTTAGGCAACAGTCTGCTGCTCTGGTGGACCCAAATTTGAGTCCAGATCAATCATCAGATTTTTTTATGAGTTCTGTCCTAGACACGATGAGCCCATCCCTCATCATCCAGCCATTCCCATTGTGTTGTGCCATAATACAAGACATTACATTTCAGATATTGAAGACTGTACAAATCTATATAAATAAAAATGTAATGTTCGTTTTTTCCTAATAGCTAATCTCCAAAAGTTCTTCATCGATTGCTTTGAAATTTTGACACAACATTGCATTCTAATTTGCACATGTTTTTATATAATTTAGATGTCAAAATTCCCCCGTGGGGGAGACGGACAGGATTAAGGCTTACCGTGAAGAACTTAGCTTCTATTATACTATTTTAGATGCGGTTTTTTGTGTTTTTTATCACGTTTTAATAGTGTACATCGAGAGAATGTACACTAAGAAGGAATTTTTCGAAATTTCCCCACGTGGGGGAAGTGTTATATATTTATAATAGATACATTTTGAGCCACAGCAATATGTGGCAGGGTCTGCTAGTTTATAAATAAAATGGTATAAATAAAAATAAAGAAAAAAATTGGTAAATGAACTGAAATTATTACATTTAAACAGATTTTCACAATTTTTGCTATAGAAATATGTAATTTTATAGAATTTATTGACATAATCACCTTACTGAATTACAGTCGACCACCTATAACATGGTAGATACATTCCTGTTTTATGAATCCAGCTTCTAGGAGTCCAGCCAATCACAGTCNACATTTAAACAGATTTTCACAATTTTTGCTATAGAAATATGTAATTTTATAGAATTTATTGACATAATCACCTTACTGAATTACAGTCGACCACCTATAACATGGTAGATACATTCCTGTTTTATGAATCCAGCTTCTAGGAGTCCAGCTAATCACAGTCCAGCACGTATGCAGTTTACAGACTACAGCTGTTTGAAAGGTTTCTTCCATAAAATTAATCGATTCTAGACTAATTTGACTCAACATTTCCAAAATTTGTATAATTTTTTTGAAAATAATCCGTATATACTACGCTATAAACAAAAAATTGTAGGATTACTTACTGAGTGTGCACTGTTTGACTATGCCGTTGCTTAAGCTTGTTTTCATTGTGGAGATTGTCATCAAATGGCACTCATGTGCATCCTGATAAATAATTTTTTTTTGTGAAAAATTCACTGAACTTTAGAGACATCATTAATATAAATATAATTTTTATGGACGTTAATTAAATAATAAATGGTTTTTAGTAGGTCCGCCGCTCGTTTAAACTCAACAGTTTGTGCAATTCTGTCGCGAGACGAGTTGGCTGTGACGTTTTACTGAATTATAGGAGTTTTTTTAGCATGTTTGTACGAACACTGTCGCAATTTTTTCGCCGTGATATAGGAATCTGAACTATAGGAACCCGTGTTATGGGGGGGTCGACTGTACACAGTTTAATTTAGAATCAATTTAAAAAGTATTATTTAAAAACTTTAATATATTTATAAGAATCAACTTAAGATTTCTGAATACATAATATATGTAAACAATTGTTGATACATTTAGAAAACAGACATCAATATTTTTATGTTTCAACATTATGAAGAACAAATTAAAAGAATAGAAACACTAGTCTCCCACTTTGGAGATCCAGATTCAAGTTCTGATTGGCTCAGAAATTTATTCATTTGATGATAGGAATCTGAACACACTGTCTTATTCTTTGCCTTTCTGTCACTCTTATTATGAGCCTAGCCAAACCCACAATAGATATGGGAAAAAGTGTTCTTAGTTTATTGTTTTTATCACATTTATAGTATCGAAATACATCAGAACTTTTCTAACAGAAAATAGCCTTTTCCTAATTTGAAAATTTAAATCTTACAGAAAGAATTAAATTAATTTTCTTAATTGACATCTGAGCAAAAATGACATAAAACTTAAATACTTTAATATTTACCTTTTCTCTTACAGACATTGTCAACAAAAGTAAATAGCCTTTCCATAAGGATATCCAATGTATTTGATAATGGATGTCTCATTCTGATATTTTCTTCCGATTCTTCTTGATCGACTTCCTTTAAAAAACGTACAGCTTCAATAAAAATATAATTTAAAATGTATCAATTAAACATAACCTAATTAATTATAAATTACCATAGGAAACATTGAATTTTCTTCTAACTCGGCATCTTCAATGTCCAAATTATACAATAAATATCTACTCAAATGTACTCAAGATACAAATTTATTTAACTTATTAATATTAGAGTGGAAGTATAGCACCAAATCATCTTTGTAGTTCCTTCTAAACAATTCTCCACTGACTTATCAAGATGATAAGCCAGTGTTTTCAATCCTTCAGGTCGAACAAAAATGTTGCTTTAATCAAATGCCTTTGCATTTTAACCTGGAGACGTGTCTGATTAACAGAACATTTTTAAAACACAATGTTTATGTTTGACCTGAAGAAGATCCAGCTGGAGGATCGAAAACTTTAATCGTTATCAAGATAAGTCACTGGAAAATTGTTTAGAAGGTACTACAAAGAGGATTTGGTGCTAAAGAATTTATTTCATTATTGAAATACCAAGGCATTAATTTGAACTGTACTTGTTATTAACCTTTAACTCAAAGCACCATCCTTAAGTGCAAGGATGGTGCTGCGAGTTAAAGGTTAATTGTAATTCCAGTTATTTGAGTAGAAGAGAAACTTTCCAAAATTTAATAAAGGCAATCATTCATTGATATTCACTTTTTTTGATGTACTAAATATTTTTAAATTATATATAAAGTAAGTGAAGCAAAAATACCTTGATATGAAGACCATACAGGTCAGTAAAGTAATTTCATAAAAATATTCAGACTTACCATTTTCTGTTTCAATTAATCCCTTGTGATGAAAGACAAAAACATAAAAAACAGTTTGGCAAACAGTATAAAATGTACCATGAATAACTGTATCTGTAATGCACTGTGCATTTTCACACTGGGAATCTATGTATTTATGTATCCAGTTTGTCATAATATTTAATATATCTTTTAAACCACTGTAAAGAAAATTAGTTATCAGATTATAGAGAACTAGATAGAATTTTATTAAGAGAAATAAACATAACTTACTTTATTGATACATAACTTGCCCGAGCAAGGAAACTTCCTATGTAGCATGCGCATGCTTGTCTAATAACAGACGGTAAATTTACATTTTGAACTTTCTTCCATAGATAATCGATAAAACCTTCATATAATGGCTTTAAAAAAAGATAAATAGTACTAATGATTAAATGTTCATTCAATTTAATTGTAAATTTATATAAACATTTCTACATTTATTTCCAATTTAGATATTACAAACTGCTTCAAACAACTGAATTGCATAAACTAAGTTACTTTGTAAAGTACTATATTATTTTTCCGATTTTTCCAATGATTATCGACACGACTGTGTGCCTGAAATAGCCGTTACCTAACAGGTACTTTACGCGGATTCGCGTTAGTGTGCCAGGCCTGGACTTTAAGCGTGCACCAAATTAAATAATGACAAAGTTTGTCAATAACAAATCAAATATTTAATAAAAGTTCTAGTAATAAACTATATACAAACTTTAGTAAAAATCAAGTAGTAATTTATTCAATGAAAGTCAATAAGAATCAACCTGACAAAACTCCAATCAATCTATTTTCTAACTTAATTCTATTCCCCTTTGGAATTTGACAAAATTCAAAGACTTAACTTATATACAATAATTCTTTAAANTCGTAAAAAACTTTAAATTCAAAATATGTACGTTCGAATGCATGTTTCCTGTTTCCGTTGTTGTATGTCATGCGCAGTCGACTCCAAAACGGGCTATCATAAATTACCATTCATAAACGCTAGCCACACTGTTGATAACCAATGCATCAATTATAAAGAAGAGATTACATTATCAACAGCATGGCTAGCGTTTATGAATGGTAATTTATGATAGCCCGTTTTGGAGTCGACTGCTCATGACATACAACGACGGAAACAGGAAACATGCATTCGAACGTACATATTTTGAATTTAAAGTTTTTTACGAGCTGCATGTTCCATCAGAGATTCGAAAAAGTCTGAAGAAGAACCGTTATAGGGGGTTCGAAAACATTAGTTTTGGTTCGTTTTGGATTGTTAAGAGTTAGTAGACGCACCGGTAACAGGTTAGAAAGAGTTATATGAGCAAACATTATTCTGTCATTGTCACAATGCCAAGCTACAATTTTTAATTTATTTCATTTAAAAGGTATGCTCTCCATCTCAAATTAGTAGTGTCTTTCCCCTTTACATCATACTTTTCCTGCTAGAAATAGAGTTGTTTCGTTCATCTATCTAACACCTTTCGGAGAAAAATGCTTGAATTGAAATGTGACCACCAGTGCAAACCGAAAGTTCATATATAGTTAATTGGGAGCTTTCCATATTTGGTCTTGTCTTTCATCTATCNGACCATTTACGGTGTGATCACGCAAAGAAATCGGTAAACGAACGTTTTCGAACCCCTTCTGGGCTCTGCTTCAGGTTCCAATCAGTTTCTACCAAAGATGTTCGATATCCGTTAGACGTATAAATCTGTTCGATCTTGTCGTTTGAAGCTTGAAATTTGAGTTGTAAGTTCGAATGTATTCCGACAATCCCATTCGCGCATGCGCGAGCAGTTCACCGTCAGAGTTCGATGGGTGAATTAGAGTGTGTTGTGAATTAACTCCTGCCAGGCCATCGATAACAGCATCTCCTCTTTAAAATTTATGCATGTGTTGGTAGTGGAGGATATAAATATGTGCATAGCTTCTAGCCATTTGAGGTGTTCAATAGGAGGCGAATCGTGGAGGAGAATGGCATGGGAGAAGTTCGCTATTATGTCCGGATCGGTTACATACGTAGCGAGGGCCGTGGAAGTTCTTCCGTGCCGAATATCGGCTAGATGCTCTTGTATTCTGACTCCCATAGATCGTTTAGTGGAGCCTATATAAATTAGGTCCCTATCGCACCTGTTGTCTTTCATGGGGATGCTATAGATTCCAGGGCGTCTGATGGGGTTGGGAGGGTCCTTTCCATTACGTAAGAGGTTGAAGATGGTTGGACACCTCCTAAACGCTAGACGTAGCTGACATTTGCTGGCAAGCTTAGCGTATATAGATTTTACGTACGGATTGTATGTGATGGCGATACGTTTTATTTCTTCAAGACGGCCGTCCTCGATTTGGTCCGATTCTTGCGCACTCTCCGAATATATACGTTGTTGATGTTGTATTAGCCTATGTATATGTTTGTGATATCCGTGTTGTGCGGCAACGCAGAGTATGTAGGCTAGTTCGGTATCCCGATCCTGGATGTTAGACGAATGCGTAAAGGCTCTTCTGATTAAAGCTCTAAAGGCTGCAGCCTTGTACGCGCCCGGATCACATGACCCGGTCGGAATATATGATGATGTGGATCCGGGTTTATGATATACCAACGTATTGATTCCCGAGCTATCGACCTTAATGTTTATATCCAGAAAGTGTACTTCTAATGGGTTAGATTGCTCTAATTCCAAAGTCAACCCATACGGGTTATTGTTGAAAGAATCGACAAAGGTAGTTGCATCTGGCGTTGTTTTCCAGACAATGATGATGTCATCTATATACCTCCTATATAAGGAGGTATATAGATGGAGGTGTCCAACCATCTTCAACCTCTTACGTAATGGAAAGGACCCTCCCAACCCCATCAGACGCCCTGGAATCTATAGCATCCCCATGAAAGACAACAGGTGCGATAGGGACCTAATTTATATAGGCTCCACTAAACGATCTATGGGAGTCAGAATACAAGAGCATCTAGCCGATATTCGGCACGGAAGAACTTCCACGGCCCTCGCTACGTATGTAACCGATCCGGACATAATAGCGAACTTCTCCCATGCCATTCTCCTCCACGATTCGCCTCCTATTGAACACCTCAAATGGCTAGAAGCTATGCACATATTTATATCCTCCACTACCAACACATGCATAAATTTTAAAGAGGAGATGCTGTTATCGATGGCCTGGCAGGAGTTAATTCACAACACACTCTAATTCACCCATCGAACTCTGACGGTGAACTGCTCGCGCATGCGCGAATGGGATTGTCGGAATACATTCGAACTTACAACTCAAATTTCAAGCTTCAAACGACAAGATCGAACAGATTTATACGTCTAACGGATATCGAACATCTTTGGTAGAAACTGATTGGAACCTGAAGCAGAGCCCAGAAGGGGTTCGAAAACGTTCGTTTACCGATTTCTTTGCGTGATCACACCGTAAATGGTCCAGGTGTGTAAATGTTTTTGTTACCTTTTATTATTTAACTTCAGTGTGAGACAAAAATTCATGTTAAAATTTAACTATAATAATACATATTTTTATTCTTAAAACTATTATACGTTTTAATCTGTGTAATAAATGATGTAAAAATTGTTGCTGTTAAATATGATTAAATTCAGTAATGTATAAAATGGGACAAGTGCAGCCTCTTAAATCATTTTATATTTGCA